ACTCTGACTTTTGTGGTTTCTTTAATATCAGAGTCTGCCCCACGGTTGGAAAATATGTCTTCTCACTGTTTGTCTGTGATTTCGCTGATTTCGCTCTTTAGGCAAAGTCGTTGCGATACATATGGATACCGATCACAATGAACATCCAAGATAATTGTCTGCCTAAGAGCCCCATCATGAAGATGACTACCCGTTATTGTGACTTGTGAGGCTGGGTCCGATGCTTTGATGTTCAGTGGCATCTCTATGCTCCTGCACAAGTTGCATTTAGCCTTCTGTAAGTTTTTTCTGCTGTTATTCCGTTCACATCTCACTCAAATTGTTATACAGGTTTGCTTTGCACCTCGAATGCGTGGCTATGCTCTGTACCCGTATCCCTGGCCACTTCGTATTAGTGTATGTAATTTGTATTTGGTGGTTTCATCGCCGCATTCAATAATATACTCGTGTTCATCAAATGCTGCTGCCGTCTATTGAAAATGCTATCGTATATAAGAGTAACTGGCGGTAATGTCTTTAATAATCATTCTAAGCTGCCCAAACTCTTATGAAGTGATATTAACTTGAGGCTAATGCAGGTCAGGCCGTAAAGGTATATGCCTGTTTACCAGGATTATATGGGATTATATCTGGACATATATACTGCTTACGATAAAATTGAGGTACGTCAGACATCTTTATAGCCAAGTCTATCGTTGAGATTGTTTATTAGACGTTAGGTGGGTTAGACAGCTTTCTTAGGAGTAATTTCGGTTTGTACATGCTCATAAATGTTGACCATTTTCTGTGGTGAGCCAAAAGGGGAAGACCCGGTGATACACACCGAGGAGTACCCGGAAGACTACGAAGTAACGGAGTTAGAAGAGGAGTACTACGAGGACAAATGGGACAAAGGATGGATGAAACCCCACAGCGCCGAATGGGTAAGATGGAAGATGAGACAAGAAAGGACCATGGAAGGAAAGTTGGCCACACTTCGCATGTGGATGCACCCGAGGCGCCTTATAGAGGCGGACGAAGATCTAGTCCTAGATCTCATTGGGTCCCCAAAAGAAACGTACAAACAACGAGAACAGTGCTTGCAAAACATGGAGGACCTACGCGTTCCCCCCCAATACATTCGAGGAGGGAAAGACCGAAGCATTAATATCCGAGTACAACTCGAAACCCTGGACACCGGCCAAGTACGAGCAGTCGACGCCCTAGTCGACAGCGGGTGCACTGGGAGCTGCATAAACCGAACGTTTGTACAGGAACACTGAATAAACATGGTGAAGTTACCAAAGGCACAGGCAGTATACAACGCGGACGGCAGCAGAAACAAGGGAGGGGATATCACCGAAATCGTAGAACTCCGAATGACCATTGGAGATCATCACGAGAAAATTGATCTCGCAGTCGTCAACCTAGGAAACGTACCTCTATTCCTAGGCCATGACTGGCTCAAACGACACAATCCCATAATAGACTGGAAAACGGGAGCAGTAACCCTAGCCCATTGCTCGTGCCGCAAAATACCCTTTCTACTACCCGAAGAAGACCCTGAACAAGCCTGGGGAACGGAAGTGGAAGAAGGGGATACCATTCTTGTCATAGACTTTGAAGAAGCCTTTCACATCCGAGCCATGGGGAGCAAGGCAAACGAGTTAGCCGCCAAAGCCAATAAAGCCAAGGAAGCAAAAACGTTCGAAGAAATAGTACCGAAACACTACCGAGAGTTTCGGGACGTGTTCGCAAAAGAAAACTTCGACGAGCTACCACCTCGTAAACCATGGGACCATGCAATCGAATTGATTCCTAACGCGAGCGCGAGCCTAGATTGCAAGGTCTATCCCCTTAATCCCGCGGAACAGGAGGAGTTGGATAAATTCCTGGACGAAAACCTGGAATCAGGAAGAATTCGACCATCCAAATCTCCCATGGCGTCGCCCTTCTTCTTCATCAAAAAGAAGGATGGAAAGCTCCGGCCTGTACAAGATTACCGGAAGCTAAACGAGATGACCATTAAAAACCGATATCCCCTTCCTCTTATCGGAGAACTAATGGATCAGCTCAAAGACGCAAAATACTTCACAAAGCTAGACGTAAGGTGGGGATACAATAATGTACGAATCAAAAAGGACGACGAGTGGAAGGCAGCCTTCCGAACCAACCGAGGGTTGTTCGAACCATTGGTGATATTCTTTGGTCTCACCAACTCCCCGGCCACATTCCAATGGATGATGAACGACTTGTTCAAGGAACAGATTGCACGAGGAGACGTCACCGTCTACCTAGACGACATACTAATCTGCACCAAGGACCAAGACAGACACCGCGCTGTCGTAAAGGAAGTCCTGACCATCCTCCACGCCAATAACCTCTTCCTAAAAGCAGAAAAGTGCGAATTCGAGGTACTGGAAACTGAGTACCTCGGAGTAATCATCAGTCAAGGATCTATCCGCATGGACCCCGTAAAAGTCAAAGGAATCACCGAGTGACCCCAACCTACCAAAAAGCGAGAACTACAATTGTTCCTGGGGTTCACCAACTTTTATTGAAGATTCATACGTGACTATAGCAAACACGTACGACCTTTGACCCAACTCACTGGAAAAGCGGAATGGACATGGGGAACATCCCAAGAAAACGCCTTCCAAGAGATCAAGAGGAAACTAGCAGAGGAGGTTGTGCTGGCAATACCCAACCGGACTGGAAAGTACCGGGTAGAAGCAGATGCGAGTGAGGGAGCGATAGGAGCTGTCTTATCACAAGAACAGGAAGGGAAATGGAGGCCGGTGGCGTTCTTGTCCAAAGCCCTAATGGTCACAGAATGGAACTATGAGATATATGACAAGGAACTCCTAGCCATCATGCTCACCCTAGAAGACTGGAGGCATTATCTCATGGGAGCGCACCAGGACTTTGAAGTATGGACGGACCACCAAAACCTGCAATACTTCCGAAAACCCCAGAAGCTCAACCGTCATCAAGCTAGATGGGTGACGGAGTTGGCCAAGTATCACTTCACACTGCACCATAAACCCAGCACAGCAAACAAAAAGGCAGACTTACTATCCCGAAGGGCAGACCATGACCAAGGAGGAAACGACAATGACGAAGTGGTCATCCTCAAACCGGAAATGTTCCGAGCCCTGATCATGCCGGGGGAGGAGGAAATACACAAGAAAATACGAACGGCATTGCGAGACGTGACCAGGTGGGACAAAGGGATAGAAGCATCCCTTCATCATCCCCGAGGGGTCACCCAAGAGGAAGGACTAATGTACTATGACGGGCAGCTATACGTTCCCCGAGACGCAAAGCTACGAGGAGAACTCATTGCTATCCACCATGACCATATCACGGCTGGACATCCGGGCATTGAGAAAACCAAAGAGCTCGTTCAACGAGAATACTGGTGGCCGAAGCTGAAACAGGATGTGGAAAGATATGTAAAAGGATGCGAAGCTTGTCAACGAACCAAAACAAGCACGCAAAAGAAGAGAGCACCCTTACATCTGCATTCCGTACCCTCTTGACCATGGGAACACATAACGGTCGACATGATCGGCGAACTACCAGATTCCAATGGATACAACGCCATACTTATGATCGTAGACCGATTCTCGAAGGAAGTCATTCCCGTACCCTGCTCCACGGAACTAACCTCCGCCGGATGGGCCAAAATCCTCAGGGATCACGTATGGGCCAAACACGGAATGCCTCAAAAGGTGATCTCTGACCGAGGACCTCAATTTGTATCCAAGTTCATGAAGGAACTGTACGAGATGTTGCACATACAAGGAAACCTGTCCACGGCGTATCACCCACAAACCGATGGGCAAACAGAGAGAGCGAACCAGGAGATTGAAAAATATCTCCGAATATTCATCAATCACTGACAGAATGACTGGAGCGAATGGTTACTGCTCGCAGCCTTCCAACACAATAACCGAAAACATTCGGCGACCGGATATTCCCCTTTCGAAATCAATCATGGGCAGAAACCACATCTAGCACTGCTCACAATAAAGGAAGGGACAAATCCGGCAGCAAGGGAATTCGTAGCCGACATTCAGAAGGTACACGAACAGACCGCCAAAGCCTTGGAGAAGGCGGCCGAGACCATGAAACGGCAATATGACAAGCATCAGCGACCAGCAGTGGAATACCAGCCTGGAGACAAAGTATGGCTGGACTCCACGAACCTACATCTTCCTCGACCAATGAAGAAGTTAGGAGACAAGCGCGTTGGACCGTTCGAAGTAATATCCAAACATGGTGCCTCCGCGTACAAGCTACATCTTCCCCCTACGTGGAAGATCCATGACTGATTCAACGAAAATCTCCTCACTCCGTACCATCCGCCGGAGTTCCCAATCCAAGTACAGCCCACACCTCCACCACCAGACCTCATAGACGGACAAGAACAGTACGAAGTGGAGGAAATTGTAGACAGAAGGGAAAGATCAAGAAGAAGAGGAAGAAGGCGCGGTACAGGAATCGAATACCTTGTCAAATGGAAAGGATATCCGAGGGAGGAGAACTCCTGGGTAGATGAACAAGACCTGGACAATGCCAGAGACGCGATCGAAGACTTCGAACAAGTCTCATTCATCACAAGACCCCCGGCGGAGTGGTGGGAGAACAAAGACGAATCAGATTCCTGGTCCAAACATGAATCTGTAACAGAGTCAGAAGTCGACCATCCATTGGTACAGGCAATTCAAGAATACCTGGTAAAACCAAACACACCCTCTCTTGTAGGAGCCTACCTTCCAAAACCAAGTTACAATGCAGTCGGGATGACTGCCTTAACAGGGGGGTAATATTACGATTTCGTGCCCTATCTTATCTTATCGACTCTCTCGTAATCTCGCTATGCCAATTCTCCGGACTCGATTGCATTCTACCATGAGGATTCAGTACGTTTACCGTACTGTTGCAGACACTTGTAGTATATTTAGCACAACCCAAACTGTATTTAAGTAGCTTGACTGCAGGTCTTAAACCTCAGTCTCGAACTAAAGTTTATTCACCCGATAACTTAGTCTGAACTCACTCTCGCTCAACTAAGCGATAGCTCCCTTAACGCAAACCTGCGGACAACATACAGCGCCTGACCGAAGTGCGAGTCACGCTGAGTTGTTTGATCTTGTTTGTGAAATCGGTCGCTAACAGCGAAGCCTTGGACTTGCCAGAAGCTTTAGTCCGCTTAGAAGACTTTCTGACCTTTGCGAATCCATCCTCATGGTGCGTTTCAGGTTCAAGTTCATCCTGATGACCATCAAGTGATTCCTGGATCTCATCACGGACCTGGTTCCAGTTCTTGAGCGCCTCACATTGAGCCTCAATGTCCAATTCCAAATCATCAACTTCCTGGTTACGATCGGCAAATTTTCCCTTCGCAACATATGAGCTTGGGCCTGGTGTTGCATTATGGGTTTCAGGTGGGTTGCGAGCCTGCTTCTGAGCAACCTTATCCTGACGTTTTGCCAGGATTTCTTGCTGCTCGGCAGTCAGATTACGTTCTGCAGCCCTAACTGTAGAAGCTTGTTCCTTGGTGAGCTTCTTTGCTTTATGCTGCTCCTTAAAGCGAACTGCATTCCTACTCAGGTCATCCAGACTCTGAGTACGACGAAGCCTTGCAGGCCTTGCCAGTTGAAGAGGAGTAGGTTCCTCAGCATCAGTCTTACTAGATGCTTTCTCGGATTCCATGCTACTACTAGAACTAGATGTATCAGATTCATCATCATATTCTACATTACTACGAGACAAATTCTTCTTTGAAATACCCGCAGCAGTCAGATTCCCTTGGGAACTGACATCCTCATCATCCTCCGAGTCAGAAGGAGACGATTTCTCCTCCTCCACTTGTACATGAGCAGAAGGAGGGTTCCTCAGCGTGGCGTTGCCAGACGCTGGAACACGGCTTGCAGCCGGACCAGGAGCAGAGCCCTGAGCACTCGCAGTGCTGGATTCTGCCGGGATTTTAGTATTATGGATATCTGGGGACAGCTCACCAGATAACTCGGATAAAGGACTCTCCACCCTTGGCAAGGCTGGCCCTGTTGCAACAGTGTTGCGGCGGCTGTGCAAGGCGTAACGAGACATCCTAATAGGTATACAGAAGATACAGTGTCGAAATCGGAGTGGCCTCGGGTGATCAAGCCTCGGTTTTCCAGAGATCGATGAAGAGAGAGAGAAAGAGATTTAAAGAAAAAAAAGCGCAGATGTAGTTGAGAGAGAGATATAGAAATAAGCAGAGAAACAGCCAATGGAGCTGTCAAAAATATGAGAGGGTGGCGAAAGTCATGTACTCTCATGAAGGAGTTTCACACAGTGTGTGACAGGTGTAAAGGCTGGTCATTGCGAAAAACCCGAGCTACTACAGCAGTACGTAGCTCTTATATACTACTAGCTAATATCAAATAGATCCTATCGGGTGCGTCGAGAACGGTGGAGCGTGTGGAGCGACAACGAGGGGGAGAAATGAAGGGTAAGGACCGGGCCAAAGGCCGGCTCGTTACACGAAACTTATTTCTAGCGGGCGGCATGGATTTTAGATCTTCCAAAATCCGAAGTTCGTTGACTCCCAAACAATGCTCCTAAAACGTTACATTTGTGCTCAAAATTCCGGTTCGTCACAAATGTCCATCTTCCCGGTGTGATTATAATTGTCAGCACAGCAGTAACGATGAGGCCACGTATGCTTACCGGCAATCAACAAAATCTAATCATCAGGATTGTAACTGATACACAGAGACCAAGTTACATAAGGTACTTTCTGGCTACTGATCACATTATTGAAAGTGATATCCCGAAGTCGAAAGTTTACGAAGGCTGCCGGCAGAAAAAGATGTGGGTTGTGACGATTGCGGAGTGATCCAGTCCAGTAAATCAGCAAATAAAATTAATTTTGTGAGGTATATAATATTATCATATAGTCTTCTTTGTACTGGTTTTCGAAAGAGAAATACAACGGGGCGCACAGGAGGCAGTGCATGCGGAATATTAATCGAGAATCTTAACGGCGATGAGTTTGTGTTGATTAAGTTGACAGGTGGACGTGGGATAAGATATTATCGTAGCGTGGTGTTGTCACAGAATCGTGGCGCTTTTGTGATGACTATGGGTTCCATCGAACAGTCTTCATATCCTACTCTGAAGCGTCAGCATTGTTATAGCAAGTAATTCAAGAAGAAATGCTGACAAGAGGCTCAGGGCTGGACAGCTTAAGATGCAAAGACAGGGAGTCAGATGGAATACGGTATCATGTCACAGAAATGCTTACCTGTGGGTCCTGGCGAAAGTTCATGTCCGAGAAGAATTCATCGTTGCGGCGTGGGATAGGAAGCCCCCTTTTGATGCGTTTTTCCTGCCACGATCGCAACCGTTCAGAGTATTTCTGCACTTCTTCGAAAACTTTACAGAAGTTCTTGAAGATTTCATACCTAAAAATCGACTTCAATTTGGTAAAGGACGCAGGGGTGGAATGGACGAACTTGACATGCAACATCAGACTGGCAAGTAAGGGGTGGGATTCTTCACCTAGCCATAAATTTCAGCCTGAGTAAGCGAATCGGAGGGAGGGGAAACGCACTACACTTCTTGATCAGAGCCTGACGGAGGTGAGTGGTAAGCCAAAAGACATGAGCGGACAGCTTTATTTATCCTGACCTGAGTTAAGGACATTCCACCAGTAACCTCCCATGTCTGCTGCTGATCCTTGCATGATGATATACAGACCTATTCATTGATAAACCATTGGTCCAAGATGACTTGAAGACTAGCTTACTACGTTGGCCACTTCCCTCTTCTTCGTGGGGAGCGGACAAAACCCGTTGCAGCACGCCCGTACGGGAGAACCAAGGCTGAACAATTGTATAGGGGATTCACATTGTTTGGTCGCGTCAAGGCATGATGCTACGTTCGCCTGTGTAGAGTCTATGGACAGCGACTCTGCTAACACTTTGGGGGAATCATTGAATGACGCATTGATCAGACTCTGGAAGGACGTTCTGCGAGAAGTGAAGCCCTTCTTGTCTGTTAGCTGGTGGATGGTCCTACGTGAGAAGGTGTCTGTGAGAGGTTGAGGCTTGGCATCCAGTGGTGATTATAATATATTGCCTACCCATGGTTTTACAACGAAGTACATCCCAGAGGGCCCGTGAATAGGACGTCCTTTGACGAAGATGCAAATACGGTCCTCTAAAGTCGCGATTGCAGCGGAAATGTTCTAAATCTGCTGGTGCGTTACTCGAAGAAGTCAGCGAGGGAGCAACCAAAACGTACCCAACAGAGACGCCGAGTGACATGTATCCAGGACCGCCTTGTTGATATATAAGGGATAAACAATTTAGACCATAGGCGAAGACGAACCGTCATATAGCAAGTCGGCGGAAGACGATCGACAAGATACCTCCGAAGGACCTAATAAGCGCGTTGAAATTAAGCAAGGAACAGCTTCCAGAACACTTACATCATCTTTGATTGTCTCGCCGTCCATAGCTATCAAACCTGATCGTCGTTAGAACGAAGCACGATGGATTCGAGCAAGAAATGCGCGGACTTACATTCATCCATACCGTCTTCCTCGCTCCCATCCAAGTTCTCCTCCTGTGTTCCATGTCCTGAGTCTGCGTCCGGTCATCATCTGGATACCGTTCATGAGACAAAAATCTTACAGTGGAAGAAGAAATGTTCTCCATCCTGGGGCTCATGAACGAGTCTCGTTATATGGCAAAGCTGGGGAAGTTATGTGGTCAGTAGTATGGAGGAGTTTAACATGTCCATACAATGTTATCGTGCGTCGGTTGAAGTTCAGCTGGTCCTTCATTATCCATGAGAGTCACAATATTCTCCGCTTGGTACCCATAGTTATCTAGACGGAATGTAAGTAATTAGCACGAGATAAGACAATGAAGAAACATGCTGATGAGCAGTTCTCTCATGCGTTCAACATCGACGTGGGGTCCAACTACGTCTCCCTGTTGTCTTCCTTTTTCATTGGATAGTCTGATTCCAATGAGAAGAGCCCTTTTTCGAGGCGTTTCCTGAGTCGCTTGATGCGTCAGAATCTGAGCGAGGGCTTCAATCATTGAAGGACGAAGAAAAAGGGCTATGTTCTGTACCGGGGCCTTATGTAGAGATAGCTTGGGGAAATAAGGCGGAATAGTGCGGTGCTTGGTTCGGACAAGGTAAAAACCGAGGCGATGTTCAGATGTATGTGTAGTACCTGATCATTTCGATGCGAGAAGTTCGGATCTGCTTCTGAAATAGTAGACCTCTCGATTGAGCATTCTGGTTGAAAACCAAACCTAGAGCGCAACTCGGAGCGGAATCACTAAACGAGTCTTCATGCATGGCCAAGCATCAGACGAGCGGGACGCCATACAAGAATTGCACCAACAGCACCTCCAACATCAATGGGCAGGGCCCACTGATGAAGGTCGATCAACAGCTGGCCGCATTCGTGGATGCCTCATGTGCGAGTTTGGTAGGCCTAACCCCCAAAATGTTACCTGCTGAATTCTGGTCCGGGGCACTTCCTCATATTCCATTCCCTCCGTCAAAAGATATATGTACCGACTCCGAGTCTTCTGTCCGTTAATATTGATACCCAAGGCTTCTTCTCAACCAGGTATCGTGAGTGAAATGGTCAGCTGTAAGGTTCAAATCGAATCCTTGCATCGAAAACATGCGGTACCCAGCCCTATGGCACCGCAGATGTGGGGGATAATCAAAACCGTTCACAGCATCATGATGTCCAAGCAGAACTTGTTCAAGAACTTGCACCAGTGCTGCACAAAAAGAATGATGAAATCTTCTGTTCCTCCGAGAACGTGCTGTAGACAGACACGGTGTCTAGAGCACCACATTTCAAGCGATTATGGTCCTGCCTTGGGTGGGTGCATTTTAAGATCGCTGAGTCTGAGAATCCGCACGGATGTGAAGAACGCACAAATTAAAGTGTTGAATTTCAAATTTTCAATTCGCTGCTTCGTGTTGACTTCACGTGACCGGAAAGACCCGGCTTGAGACTTCTTTTGAGCCTCGCACCTTGGTTTTGTGCTATGACGGGACGATGTTGTCAGACTGAAATGGCAAATCAAGCTGTGTAATTATGCCAATGTGTTCTTGCACACTCGAGGATGCCATGGGATAGTTCATTAACATTGACAAGAGCCCAGATTCAGATCATATGACGATTCGGATGGTGATCGAACCAGTGATCTCATATTCCACCTTTACGGCCAGGACCTAGCGCAGCTCTGAATAGTACGCCTACAGATATCGACCAAATGCCCTAAGGCTGATTTCCGATGACCAGTCACCAGATGGTACGAACAAACGAAGAATGGGCGGCGCTGATATCGACCAAAGTATCAGATGTTCAGAAAGCAGGGCCCAAGCCCATAGCGACTACTTTACATATTACTTCCCCCAATGCTGAATTCGCTCGCACGATCGACCATACGCTTCTCAAACCCGATGCGACTCCTGCTCAAATTGATAAGCTGTGTGATGAAGCTATCAAGTTCAAGTTCAAGGTGCCTATCCATCTTTTGCCAGCGACCATCTTCGTTACTAATGTATACGCGCTACTAGTCCTGTTGTGTAAATGGTACGAATATCCCCCAGGTTACTGCTCGTCTTGCTGGAACCTCTACGATACCTTGCGCCGTGATCGGATTCCCCCTCGGCGCATCGAAGACGGAAGTCAAGGCATTGTGCGTTTCCACCATATCTTCAAATTTCATCTGATATCTCCTCCAGTGAAGCATCTCAAGCCATATCAGACGGTGCCAAGGAGATCGACATGGTCCTCAATGTCGGTGCCCTCAAAGCAGGGAACTACTCTCTCGTATTCTCCGATATTCGCGCCGTTGTTCTAGCTTGCGGGACTACACCACTCAAAGTTATTCTCGAAACTGTCTTTCTGACCGATGAAGAGATCACCGCAGCGTCGTTCATGGCCGCTAATGCGGGAGCAGCATTCGTGAAGACGTGCACAGGCTTTCTGGGCGGCGGGGCAACCACAAGGCATGTCTCTCTTATGCGGACGGCGGTGGCTTTCATGCCAGGCGTGCAGGTCAAGGCGTCGGCTGGGATCCGGAATTTCGAAAAGTGTGTGGAAATGTTGGAAGCTGGGGCGGATAGGATTGGGACGTAAGTCGATATTTTCTTGATAGTTAGGCCATTGCTAATGATCGTGTAGTTCTTCTGGTGTCGCGATCATGGGAGAAGGTACGAGTGAAACGGGAACGTATTAAGCAGACTCTTGGGTGCCGGCAGTAATATCATACGAGATGATAGAGCAGCGATACCAACCTGGTAAATAAATCCGATGGTCAGTCTCGAAATGTTCACGAAAACAAATAAGCGAAACTGTTCTCCGCAATAGGTCAATTTTAGTTCCAGATCAAATATACAATGTCACTTAAGCTGAATGTCCTCTCGATGTCACTTCGAATTTAAGCAGTACAAACGTTGGTCCGGAATCTTTCTATCCAATTACGATAGACCGGTCAGTAGTCGACTGCCATGTCCCTCGCATCTACTCAGGCAACTTCAAAACAAAGCCATCCTTCAATGGGTCTTGCTCTTCACACACGAATGCGCTCGCTCCAGTATAGTTCGCCCTGCCCTTAACCATAACCACGATGCCCTCTTCCCGCTTTTCTACTGCACACCCTTGAAATCCCAATGTTTCCGTCTCCAAACTGACCACCGACTCGTATCCCCACCACTCGTCCAACCCGACGCCTAGCCATCCCTCCTTGACTGCCAGCGCCACCTTGGCCATCACACCCGACCCTGTTGGACTCCGATCGACCTGTCCGCCTGCAAAGAAACAGAGTCCCAACTCTCCTCTCGGCCCGCCTCGCGTCTTATCAGTTACGATTACGCCGTAGAGAAACTCGAGATCGCGTTCCGTTGGGTGCTTGATTATCTCTTCTTGTGTGGCTTTCAAGTTGACGAGTCTCTCGATTGCCGCTGCTGCCTCGACAATGTCACCCCCCGCACCAAGCTCTTGCATAGAGACGAGCACGTAGAAAGCTCCTCCATACGCGATGTCCACCGTCACTCGTTCTTTCGATATGAACCCTCGTTCACTCTGAGGAATATCTATCGTCAACCCGCGCTTACTCACAAAACTCGGTATGCCTAGAAAGGTCACTTCGTCGGAATCCGAGGGGACACTGACATGTATCACCCCGCAAGGCGCGTGGATCCTCAGTTCTGTTACGCCATTCATTGTTTTAAGCGCGTCGCGTCGGGGGAACACCTTCAAGTCGTGCGTATCGACGAGAAACCGACCTAGAGCGATCGTAGCGTGGCCGCACATTGTTGAATAGCCCTCTAATTGGGTAAGCAAGGTCAACGAGGATATAGTCGCACTGCGCACGCACCGTTATGACAAAAAAGCACCCCAATGTCTGCCTCGCCGCTCTTCGTGAGCTCAGTTTCCTGCACGATGATGGCACCGTACATCCCTTCGTGTCCGCGGGGCTCCAGCATTAGCCGTCGTCGGATATCATCGTGGTGCTCCTTTGCGTAACGCCGCTTTTCGAGGAGGGTGGTCCCGTGAAGAGGTGGGTAGCCGGAGATAATGATTCTGGTGGGCTAACAGCTACAAGTTTGAGTATGGGTAGCAACTGAATGGTCCAGAAACATGCCTCCCCAGATGTGTGCATTTCTATTGTCTTGATGGCATTCTACCGCGAGAGTAGGGAGTTGAAGGTGTCCATGATAGCGATCAGAATCAGATAAGCTTGCGCAGGCTGTGAGGGCGTTCCCCACGGTAATTTACCGTAAATCTCGATGATAACCAGTCTTGAGCGAAATGACATCCACCGTTTTCGTATCGTGTTTGTCTTACGTTCATCTTGTACGCACAAAGATGAACAACTGCGTATCGAGCTGGTATGATATAACCAAACCCTACAGCTGAACGACCTTCTCTTCGAACTCTCAACTAATCCACGTCGTCCATCGATTCTCTTCTCCTCTGACCACCTGCGCAACCTCCCTCGCCACGATTCTATCTGCTTGTTCGCTAGGATGTAGCTCATCGTACCTGACAACAAATGTTAGACTGATGTCGACGAAAGTCGCGATATCGGTTGACCAGAGAAAACTATCCCGATCCGACCCATAGGCCGTCGTACACACGCTGGAATTGTCATTTCCCTCTGGATACACACACGATACGACCGCGCCTGTCACGTTCAGTGGTGCCGTGCCATTGAGGTACTCTGATGGTTTATTATACATGTCTGTGAAGAGGGCGTGCGAGTCAAAGATTCCTATACATCAATCAGCCTTAGCTTGTGATGACATCTGGACATTCTAGCTACCGATGTGAGCCCCAGGAATTTCTGGTAACAAGGCGTGAAGCATCAAACGCGATAGCGCGTTCCCACTCAACACTAGTTCACGCATGAACACGCTCCATTCGGTGGTGTTCCGCGGGTCAGTGAAGTACCTATTGGGATATGATACTGGTGCGTAGAGAATCGTGGAGTTTAGCGGGATCATCTACACTTGGTAAGTGAGCAGTGCATGAAATTCGAATAAATGACATACATTCTGAACCAAAAAATTCCTCGCCCCACTTTCATAAAGCACCTTCACCCAATTAATCATGCACCTCGTAACGTCCACAATGGACGCGTCATTGCTCCCTGTGAGGATTGAATATCTGCCTACGTCATTTGTTCCGATCCATTGTGTATACAGCGTCACTCTGGGATCCAATACAATCGAACCATTATCCTTTTCAGCAAAATACAACGGTAGCTGGCTTTCGAATACGGAGGGAGAGGGTCGGTAGGTGATGTTATTTGAACACGTAGCCCCAGAACGCGCGTAAGGGTATAGAGTAAGGTTGGCGTACTGGGCAGTGTAAATGGGCCAGGGGGTGCCGCCGTCGCTAATGGAAATAACGTCGGTGTAGCTATCCCCGAAGGTGACGAGGTTTTTTATTTGGCCTGGATCGAGGGCCAGGACTAGGAAGGGAAGAGCGAGGAGGAGAAACATCGGGAAGGGCCAACATGGATTGGGTGTTTATGAGGGTGGAATATCGTACTGTCGTCATTCTGGGATCATCGTGTCTTTTGTTGACGCGCCGGGCGGACCGTTATCTGTCGTATTCTCGGTGGAAATGCGAGGAAAGAAGCGCGAATGTGGGGCCAGATGACTATATCATACACGCAGGGTTGGTGATATCAACACAGTAAAGATCGCACAAAAATCGAATGGAAGAGGATAATTCGGGTTGTTATTTGCTTACTTAGGATCTGTCGCGATTCCTTTCTGTGCAAGTTCTTCGAGGTAGTCCATCTCTCGCGGTGCACAACAGGACGCATTTGAGATGCTGAGTTTTCTTAAGCTAAAGACAACAGACTTTAAGCAAAGGTCATGATGGAAATAGGCATCCTTACTGTTTCTTGTTTGTTCACTAAGATCAGTAGTAGTTGTACTATAACGGTATGATTAATTCATTTTACGAACCTCTGCCTCTGAGTCTTTCCCCATCCTCCTTGTCTTCCAAAACATTCCGATATCACTACAATTAGCCGGTGCGTGAGTACTAGTGAAGGGCTTTGGTTCCGATCGGTCTAGCCCGAGCTGATTGAGAACCTGGTTTGGTATGGGTTTAGGCCACAGGCGATATCGGCGTTGGCAAATGAAAGGCAACAGGGCAGCTCGGACTCGGGTTGGACAGGGAAAGACTTCTCGTAACGTCGTCTATAGCTGACTTTATAGAGGATCGAACAGAGCGGCAAAGCTGTCGCTTATCAGGAAAGAAAATCGTCGATGTCGGCGGCCTTGACGCAAAAAACTGAGGTCGGCTTCCAGATCCTTGGTGATAATTTCGTCATAAGTTACTGAGGAACGCATCAGAAAGCCATGAGGATGTTGAGAAGAGGCTTCTAGCTTTGTTGCTGTGATCAAAAATTCCTCGAGTTAAACAAGGCCCCACTGCCAGGTGACCTTCAATTGCATTGGCAGTAACGTGAATCCAGCAACGCGATGCTTCTTAATAGACCTGCGTCGTACCGAGATCTACTCTTCGCAGCTGTCCAATCACATTAAGTAAGAGGTGCTAAAGAGGCTCAGTTGCGTTGGGTGCCACGGTTGAAATAGCCTGATTATCTAACGGCAGACCTTGTCCTCAAACCGCGAGGGTCCAAGTTTCTCTTCATCCCCCATATCTCTTTCTTGCCATCTACCTTTCCTCCTTTCCTTCCCTCTCCTTTATTTCTTCGCACAGCCCGGGTTGCAACACTGTTATGATGGCCAGAAAGAGCCACTCTGTCTCATTACCACCTACAGCACCTGGAGCTACCGGATCTGGCTTGCAACCACCACCAATGCAGACCGGTGATCCCTCTGCTAGATCTGGTGCGCTCAAGAAAGAGGATCGCCGGTCGTTACCTCAGGGGCGGTCATTCCTGTGGGGTTTGTTCTCTTCGTCGTCGTCGCACAAGGAGCCCAAGAAACCGGCTGACGGACGGACAAAACTATCCAAAGCGCCACCGATGTCGGCCTCCATGAAGACCCTGAGGGAACCCAGAATTGGAAGTGTCTCGCCGGAGCTGTACAATGATCCAGCTTTCTCGTCTGATCCGCGTTCCCATCTCCTCTCAAATTCCTATTCTTTTCTAGGTCCTGTACCAGTGCCCGGCCAATCCTCCTTGAAACACGAGCAACTCGCCGATGGCAGTTCTCGTCATTCAGACCGGTCAAAACAGTCATCGAATTCTCCCACAGACAGTAAAGCACCCGGAGTTACTCCATTTTCATTCGTCAGTGCTGGTCCCTCTTATTCCGTATCTACGCCGTCTCTTTCATTCGTACAAACTGCTTCCCCCGTAACATCTACTCCCTCATCGACAACGTCCCACGCTGCCACCATGCCACCATCGCAACCGTTGGCCACGGAACCACGTTCACGTTCACCACAGCGTATAGCAACGTATAAACTACGCCTTCATAACCCTGACCTATCTAGCGACGAGCCACCCTCTTACGATGAAAGCACGAGTATTCCCGTCCCTTCTGAGAAGCGCGGGGATTATCGTCCTAAACAACTCACCACCTACAGGAGAAGGATCCTCTACTGCAGTGCTCCGGGAATCACCTACGCACTCTCAGCAAACATCTCCCTACGAAACACGTTCACCATCACCCTCACATTCATTTTATTCATCTAATCATTCTGCCCTGGTGGCAGAGTCCCAGCCACCACAGTTACCCCCTCAGGAGATACCCCAACAGATGTATCCATATCAGCAGCAGCAGCAGCAGCCACAGCGCTCATCTAATTCTCGTCACACCACGCCAGAGAAGTCACATCCCGAGAAAGAAGCGCCGCAGCAGTCTACACGCAGAAACGGGCCGCTCATTCTTCGATACGAGCCTCCTCAAGAACCTCAACCCGCGGCCGAGGAACATCGCCAGGCCCGTGCTCAGGCCAAGCGCGGTCGAGCGAACCAGCTAGATCCTATTGATGAACTGGATCAAACGAACCCTCTGGGTATGAGATTGCACCATGGCGGGCCTTATGAGGCTATACAGAAGGTCGTCAAGCCACAGAATAAAGGGCAACAGGTGTGTTCTATTGTAGAAAACCTTCGGTTACGATTACTTAGTACATTCGGCAGAATCGTTCTCAGAGAAATTATGACAATGTTTGTCGCTGTCGAGTCGTCTTTGCAGGAATAAGTTCACTGATTCCAATTTGTAGTCTTCCATCGAGAATCTGCAGACCAGTGCAGCACCCGCTCCATTTACACCCTTCGGCGCATCACTAAACCTGACTCCGGGACAGATACTCCCTCACAATTTCCAGCCTTATGTCCAGCCTGCTGCACAGACCCACTCACTTCAGAATCAAACCTCGGTGCGTCAGAAGCCGCAAACTTCCAGTCAGGATCCATACCAAACCCGTCAGTATCAACCAGCCGACGTACAGCCGCATCCCCTGCAAAGTCACACGTCCTCTCATCAAGTATATCAAGCAGCGGATCAGGATCAATATCAGCGTGGCGGTAGATTCAACCCTTATGACGACCCTATACATCAATCCCAATCCCAATCCTATCAACCTCCACAATCCCATCGGCCTCCACGATCTCAGCAACCTCCACAATCTCATCAACCGGTTCTGCCTGCCGTCCGGCCAGTTCAACCCACTCAAATTGTACGACGAAGTCCGCGACCCGTTACTCCAGTTCATGAGGAGAGCAACGAGGACGCATACGGGGGTATAGCAGATGCGTATGGCGGAATAGAAGAAGAGGTGCCTGCACCAGCACCTATGACACCTAGGTCAGAACGCAGAAGTGCACCTGTACCTCCGCCCGCCACCAATGTCACACCCGGCTTAAACCTACAGCGTTCACAGACAGCGGTTACTCCACGGCATCATAATGCTTCCTCTCGGTTACGCTACGCCCGTCGGCTTCCCTCAACCCACGCCTTATCCTCAGCCCTCGTCATATGATGGCCACGGAAGACCCAATGTTTCTCATACTCAGCCCCCTTTCCACGGAACACCGCATGGAGGCAACTCCAGAATACTTGATCCTGTTGGATACGAAGCCAGTCGAATGCGACAGCCATTCGCAGAACAGTACAATCAACCACCATCACAGCGTATGCCACAGCCAATAATACCTCCACAGATGGCACCACAACCAGCGGCAACGTCACGCATTGTTTACCAACAAACGGCACCCCAGCAAAGACCTCCGCCCGTTAGACAACCGGCACCAAGCATCCAATCCTCGTCCTCTGCTTATCAGAACAGGCCTCCTCCAAAGCATCTTCCCAGCAATCTCGTAATGCCTACTCCTCTGCAAAACGCTCCTCCCAAAGTATCTTCTATGCCGAAGCCACACCACATAGATCCTCGACATCAACCATCGTCTCAATTCCCTGCGCGTCATCCATCCGCACGGCCGAGTACCACTCCTTCAAACGCTTTTGGCATGGTGATGCTACCTTCTGAGAATCAGAAGATATTGAGGAAGGGAAGCAGCGTAGCAGGGCGTGTGCCTACGACGGGAGTGGCGTTCGCGGCGAACATCGATTATGTTGACCCGGCGTTTACACGGCAAGCGTCTGTGAAACCAAAGACGCCTTTAGAGAAACACAAGGTTCCTAGGCGGGTGCTGAGCAAGAAAAAAGTCGACTTTTGACGACCGTAACGATTTCTTTTTTGTCATGACAGCGCGATCATCTACATCAATAACGGCCTTGTATAGTTCCTCTGATTATATACCTCTCATCACGTTTCTGTATCTTTGTTATAATCCTGCTTTCGTTGCAATGTGCATCTATAGTTTCTGTCTAGTATACGTTAGGGTGGTATCTATGTAGTCTAATAAGTATCTCCTCTTGGACCTGTATATGTAATTGGTATATCTCACTCCAATAGAAAGAAGCTCATCGTTTCCTTAGAGAATTCACCGAAATTTCAACTCAGCGTTTAGGTTGGCTCTGTTTTTAAAAGATCAACAAGAATAAGCGAGTAAGAAACGCATCGGCTTACCATGCCGCAGCACGGAGGGGGCTTCTTACTCTTGTGAAGAGGTGTAGGAGAAGAAGGCGACACAGATTCCAAAACAAAGCCTTAGTCGTAGTCCCGAGCACTGACGCGTGCCTTAGATCACTCTGAGCTATCCCACACGGGCCCAGCGTCTGTGACCTCAAGTATATCACCCTCTGTCAACGCCTCTTGAATCAGATCCAACTCTTTTTCCCGCCTCGACTGCTCTGCCGCGCAAAAAACGCCGACTCCGCTCACATCCTCATAGTTATCAGGGAGCTGTTCGATAGCTTTTTGACAGCACGCTGGAAAGGAAGAACGGGGAAATGGTACTTAAAGCCGTCTCTGAACTGGAGGGCCAAGTTCAGAATGCGATCGTACTGCACTTGTAAGATTTGTCGCATGTATCCACAGAGCTGCGTGACTGTTTTCTGCGCGTCTTTGAGCCTGATCACCCTCTTCCGCACGATCTCGATGGGTACAACGGTGCGAATCCAAGATACATCGATCTTCTTCCGCTAAAGACGACATATTTAGTCGCAAAAGTCGTGACGGTTACAATGTCCTTACCGTCGTCCGGCTCATCTATGTAATGGAAGTGACCATGAGTGCGCAGCAGAGCTCATAAACGATGATTAACCTACCACATCAGGATCAGATTCCTATGGAAAGACATTCAATTTCGTCCAATTCATCGCGTTGAACACGCCCGGACAAACCTGTTTCGCAAATGGCCCATTCCCATTCCCAGTCCTCTTTGTTTCCTATGACATTCGCGACATCAGGGCGACTAGCCGCGGGGTGTGAGAACGACCTGCGCTTCGATGAACTTGAACGTCGATCTAGCCAAAAGCGCTTTGGTGCCTCCTTCTGGCCGCAGAGCCGTGCGATAGCGTTCGCAACGTCGGCGAATGCAGCGTAATACAGCTCATGTTCGGAGTCCTGGGATTGGCCAGGGAGAGGCGACCGGCAGAAGTATCATATGCTTCTACGCTATTAAGAGGAGTGGAAGCGTGGTCACATTTGGGAAAGAAAGTATCGAGAAAGTCGTCCAAGCGGGTGGCTCTAGTGTTGAATGTGAGGTGGGTTTCCACAATCTTGAGGATCTGCTCAGTGGTTAGTGTGGATCCATCGGTACCATCGGTCAGTATGGAGCTCACTCAGGTTAGGACTTGACTCAACAAGTGTTGAAGTCGTGTTGAGAACTTAACGTGACCGTGGCGCAGCCGAGTTTGTTGCCGGCCCGGCATGCACGTCCGACTTCTGTAAGTTAATTCTTAAATAGAAACTCCTCACGCGCCTGCCTGATAAAAGAAAACCGCAAATATTTATACAAGAGTATGAAAACCGAAAGATCCCTGAATATCTATAGCTACATTTAAACTTTAAGAATTAGTAAGTAGTAATAATACAACATATGCTTGGATAGCAACTCGACTGTTAAATCTCCCTTCCCCATGGCCAAACCCAAAAATCGAACGGGAATGCGCCCTTCCATCACCTCGGCGCGATCGGACTCGATTGTCCTATGATGTGCGAAGAATCATATCTTCACTGTATGCAGCTTCAACCCCCCTCAGGAGGACGCATCTAGCCTCTTCATCCTTTCCAGTATTCGTGGGGGGGATGGCGGTGCGATCTTCCCTATACATCCCACTATAGTGGCAGCGGCAGTTCTCTTCGTAACTCGACAACGAAAGTGAGCCGACGCAGTTATGTGACAGGGACGAACCCAGGAGGCGGTGAAGGCGAAGGGGAATACGAAGTATATGACGAGGCAGGCGAGCAAGGTGCCTCCGTTTGAGAACCCCAGCTTGGTGATCGACTCGACGAGGAGGAGGAGGAGGAAGAAGAACCCGAACTCGCCGTCCGACGCGAAGAGGAAGAAGGTACTCGGGGTGATGGTGTCCGCCGGGGCAGCTGTTGCGGCTTCGAATAAGGCTTCCAATTCGCCCTTGTCTTCCTCTTCTTCCCCCAACTACTCTTACCCCATTCCACGCTCAACAGGCCTGACCGCCCATGCCAGCTCCAACTCCAGGTCTTCCAGGCGCCCTCACCGACATACGCTGCTGACCGGCCCCGGAGGTCAGTGGTATAGCGAGCAGTGGCTGCTTCGCCCTCACCCTCGTGCTCTTGTGATGCGGAGCGGACGTTCATGCGTGTGAACATTTGTGTTAGCTCGTCCATTGTTGTGGGTGGGGTTTTCGTGATGGGGGTGGTAGATGCGATGCGAGGCCAGGGGACATCAAAGTGGAAAGCGTGAGCAGGGTAGGGTACGGGACGGAGGAATGAGGGAGAGGCCTCTTTGCCCTTGCCTTTGCCATTGGGTATGGGTGTGGGAATGGGTATCAAATCGGATGAGGGCGGGCCTGGGAACGCCGGTCTCGTCAAGCTGAGGTACTTTTTTGTGGGTCCTCGTCCGGGTGCTGCTCTGGTTCTGGTGTCGGCTGAGAGTACGAGGGAGGAGGCAGCGAAGCGATGAGCTTCTCGACGCCTCCGCTCGGTCCACGAACACGTGAGGGCGGGAAGCCGGCTTTCTTCTGGACACGGCGGTGGTTTTGGAACTACCAGCAAGTCAGTTGGGCGTCACTGACAAGCATGGGGTCGCTCACCCAAACTTCAATTTGGCGCTCGGTCATGTGGGTGTATTCTGCGATGGCGAGGCGCTCGGCAGCGGTGGGGTATGGTGTATGATGGGTATAGATCACTAGGAGGAGGGGTGTGTGGTTCTGGGGAGGCGGTTAACAGGCGGCATGGCGGGACGAGAAGGGCGGGACGTACAGCGTTGAATTGAGGGCGCTCTCGCTCCTCCGCAAGGCGGTAGGATTCTTGTATTTGGGCAACGCGATTGAGGCGGGCCTGTTTCGCTTCAGTGTATCGCGACATTATGTCGGCCACATCTCTCGTTGAGAACGTCCGCTGCAAATATTCCGCAAACTTGTTGACAGTAGATACTTGAGGAACGGGCACTAGCATCGACTGTTGGTAGACATCGTTAAAGACACCACAGTACTTTGTTTGCAGCAGCGTGACAGCCTTGTGCAGGATATTGCGCATCTCTGTCGGGACGGTGAGGTCGTCAAGCTCGGATTGGACATGTTCGGGAAGCTGCAGTTCGAAACAAGGAGTTGAATAATAAGGGGGAGAAGAGTATGGAGAGACGGAGGGGATGGATTTTATGGAATTTTGAGCCACTCTGAGAATATTTTGGAGTAGATCCTGGCGGTCGACGCTAAGTCTTGACATATGGCTCTGACAATGGGGGAAGTATGCTTCAGGAGCGGGGGAAACGAGTGGCACATTGCAATTACGGGCTCTTGATCTTGTTCTCGATTTGGCGAACAATGGGAGCTAAGATTAGAAGACAATGCGGAGTTTGAATCTAAAGTAACCAGTGGCTCAAGCACAGGGTCAAAGCACAAACCTCTACCCACAATAACATGGCTCAACTCTTCGACAAGAGACTATTATCCGTTGTCGATGATCTCTTTGTCGCCCATCGAGCATCTCCATCGTCTTTGGACAATTTTAATACCGAGTTGGCACTTCTCCAGGAAGATCTCCTCGAAGGACAGCAATCTGGCACCTTGTCCGAATCTACATCCGACCTGGCGTATGCGGTGTCCAAGACCGTTGAGGTTGTTTGCCAAACTTTAATGAATTTGCATGTTGGAACATCAAAGATCTTACTGGAATCGGAAAAAATATTCGAGGCTGCTTTGGAGAAGGAATCGACAGCAGCATCGCCTCCGCCTCCTACCCGCACAATCAAAAAACGAGCACGCTCTTCCACGTCCCCGGAACCCCCGACAAAGCGCAAGCGCACAAAGCGAGTAGTCTCCACCGAGTCAGCCTCTTCATCCTCCTCCTCCTCATCTTCCTCGCGCTCATCGACCCCCGCCCTATTAAAGCGCGACTACACACCCCTCTACACCTGGCTTTCAAACAACCTGCACGACCCCTACCCATCCGCGTCCGTGCGGAGCGACCTATGCCGAGCCTCGGGGGGCGCGGACGTCGAGCGGTGGTTCACGTCCGCACGACGGCGGATCGGGTGGACAGAACTCGTGAAACGCGTTCCGGGGGGTCGGGAACGAGTCGTGAGTGCGGCAAAGAGCTACTGGAAGGATGAAGGGGAGGAGTACCCGGGGATCGAGGTGGAGTTTGCGTTGATTGAGAAAAACTTGAAGGACGTGTATGGGCCGCGGTTTGACGGGCCGGGGGAGGTGGTCAAGTTGTTTGGCGTCGTACCCAGGTGAGAGGGTCTGCTTTAAGTTCTTGGGCGATTGCTAATGTTTGGTCAGTTTGAAGCGCAAGAGGGACGAAGAGGAAGAGGTCCCGCAGCAGAGCTCGAAGCGCCACAAGGAGGAGAGGCCGCCCAAAACGTTCCGGCCATATGAGCCACCCAACCTCGACAACTGGTTCGGTGATGTGTACCCCACCCCCGAGGGCAACGTCCAGCTCGAGGTGGACATTCCTGCACCTCTCGAAGCCCCGCCCATTACATCAGACTTGGACAGCTTCCAGGCTGCCTTTGACACGCCGATAACAGACTATTACGGATCCCTTGATTTCGACCTTTCAAACTTTGACTTTAGCGCAGACCCATCATCATGGATTACAGATCCCATATTTAACAGCACGCCATTCGACTTTGGCATTGCAGTGGCATAATCGCTATTATACAATCCAGGTCGTCCATTTATTCTGCTCGCCTCTGGCTACCTGTGCAATCTCCCTCGCCACGATCCTGTCTGCCTGCTCGCTTGGATGCAGCTCGTCGTACCTGCATCGACCGTCAAACAGAGATGGATTATCGCGAGTGGAATGCACTCACCACAGGAAACTGTCCCGATCGGTCCCTTCCGCCGTCGTGCACACGCTGGTCCCGCCTCCGAGTGGAAATACGCACGACACCACAGCACCCGTGACATTCAGCGGCGCTGTCCCGTTAAAGTACGCTGCTGGGTTGTCATGCATATCCTGGAACAGCCCATGGGAGTCAAAGATCCCGATATGAGCACCCGGAACTTCTGGTACCAGCGCCTGTAGCATCGCCTTTGACAGCGCGTTCCCGCTCAGCACCAGTTCCCGCATAAACACGCTCCATTCAGATGTGTTCCGCGCATCGCTAAAGTACCTGTTTGGGTACGAGTCTGGTGCATACAGGATCACTTCGTTCAGTGGGACCATCTATACCTCATTAGCTGGGATCTTCTCTTAACACGCTGGCACCCACGTTCTGGACCAAAAAGTTCCTCGCCCCATCCTTGTACAGCACCCTCACCCAATCGACCATACACCCCACCACATCCACAATCGACGCGTCATTGCTCCCCGTCACCAACGAATACACCCCCACGTCATTCGTCCCGATCCACTGCGTATACAGCGTCTCCCCCGCGTTCACCCTGATCGTCCCATTGTGCTTTTCCGCGAAATACAACGGGAGCTGGCTCTCGAATATCGACGGGAACGGGCGGGGCGTGAGGTTGTTGGAGCATGTCGCTCCGGAGCGCGCGAATGGGTATAGCGTCAGGTTGGCGTACCCTGCTGCGTAGACAGGCCATGCTGTCCCGCCGTCGCCGACGTTGACGATGTCGGTGTAGCTGTCTCCGAAGGTGACGAGGTTTTTGAATTGGGTTGCGAGGGAAAGTAGGGGGAGGGAGAGAAGGAGTAGGGAAGCCATGGGGAGGGCTTGCACTTGAACGAAGGGGTGTTTATGAGGGTGAAGTTTCGATGGAATTTCTCCGAGATGGTACCCATGACCGTTACTTCTACGGTCCGTCGTCGCAAGTATTCCGGGGAACCGACACTCGTCATGATAGAAACTTGTACACAAATAAACATTCGAAAAAAACTAATTGATACAATACAACGCGATAGCAATGTGAGAGCAAAATAATAATACAAAATTGCAGGGTATAGTAAAATCACGTCCTGTAATGCGACTTGTTCTTCTTCCTCACCCCAACAGCGATAACAGGCGCTGGGTAATCCGCATACACGAATCCCTGGATATCCAAAGGCACCTCGTGCACATGCTCCGGCTCATCGAACAAATCATCAAACGGTTCCGGCTCCGGCTCAAGCTCGACATGCGTGCTCTGTGGTGTCGCAGGCAACGACTCTTCTGATCCTGAAGACGCACTCGACCACGACACCTGTCGGTGCAACGACGGTGACCGCGACCGCGTGGGTCTAGGTCTCCTCGGCAACATCGCCTCCCTCCTCTTCCTCTCTGGCGTATTAACCAACGCAGGGTGGTACCCACGCTCGAGACGCGTCGTAATCGCGCACGTTGCAGCCGGTGGCACAGACTCCTTCCGACACCCGCAGGATGTCGCTGTATGTCCGTAGCTTCGTAGCGAACATCTCAGAGAGCTCGGAAAAAGCTGAGGCGCTGGGTGTGGTGCGGGAGTGGTTCGGTGGCGGGTCGGCGGGTCCAGGTTGGGGGTGGGAAGTGGCACGAAGGCATGGTCCCAGAGAGGAAGGGTGTGTACCCAGGAACAGCATCCGGGAGAGGTCGGGGAGGGAGAGCGAGGACGTCTATGGGAGTGGCATCCCGGGGATACCGAGGTGCAGATAATGTCTACCCAAAAACAAAAACATGAGCCACTCCCACTCCCACTTTTTTTTGTTATAAGAAAACATACCGAAAACCCCCTCTCCCTCTCCCCCCGTACATACCCCAACTGCTCCCTGTCCTTCTCCGAAAGCGTCCTCTCCTCCTTGGGCACCCCAAACACACCCAGCACCTGCTCGATCTTGTCGATCTGCGATTGGGACGGTCCGGCGTCGGAGGCTTTGCGTTTGACGCAGGGGCGGCCGGCTTTTTTCTCTACGCGGCGGTGGTTTTGGAACTAGTAGGGGTTAGCGAGGGAGAAGGGGAGGGAGGGGAGGGAGGGGCTCACCCAGACTTCAATTTGGCGAGATGTCATCATGGATTTTCGGGCCATTACTTCGCGGTCGTGGAGGGAGGGGTAAGCGTTGTAGGCAAAGTATGCTTGGAGGTAGGGGATGTAGGCCTAAAGGGGTGGTGAGTATTTGGGTAGGAGAAGGAGAAAAGGACTGACGTTGTTGAACTTTCGTTTAGATTCTTCGACTTCGTTTGATTTCGGCAATGCTGCTTTTTCAGCAAGGTAGTGACGCATCAAACCAGGAAGAGACTGATTCAAGAAGCGAGCCTCCAGGATAGCACCCAGCCTATGGATGGCAGAAAATTGCGGTAGAGGCGAAGCTAGAGATGCGTTGTATGCACGTTCATACACGCGGCGATAGTCCTCCTGTAGGTCTTGTATAGCTGTCGTTAAAGCACTACGCATTTCCGCAGGTATGGAATTGTCGTTGAGTTCCGACTTGACATGCTCCGGCAGGATGAAGTTCAATTGGGGAAGGGGAGGCAGTGAGGGAGGGATAGCACTTCCATTGATGGGACCTGCAGTCTTCTTGAAAAGCTTTGCAATCCTCGATGTTCGCCGAAGGAATTCTTGCTGAAGACCAGCTTGCATACTGAGCGAGGTTACTTACGGCGAGAATTATGAGAAAAAGGACGCCCAGGGGATGTAAGTATGGCAAAGCGAGAAACGGCGGAGCTTGAATTAAGAACAATGCTGGCCACAATCGGACATTGAAAACGCCTACACTTGTCTACTCTGGTAGTATTTGCTACCAGTCCCATCCTTTCATATCTTGTCTCTGCGATGGAGGGCGCAGCTACCTGTGATTCGGATTCCGGTATCCAAAATCGACTTTCTGTGGCTGTGGAGCAATTTTTTGCTCACAATTCCGACAACTCATTACTTGACGATTTTACCGGCGTATTGGAATCTCTTTACGAAGACACCCTACACAGTCACCGTAGCGGTGTGTTGAACACCGAGACGGCTAATCTGGCGTACAGTGTCGCAGATACCATCGAATCTATTTGCCAAACGCTGGTGGAGCTCGATGTCGCTGGGGACAGTGTCACTAGTCAGTATGAGAAGAAGCTGAACCGAATCGTAGCAGAGAAAACAAAAGATTCTTCAGCTTCCCTATGCTCATCCTCATCGGTTTGCTCATATGTGGAACCTGCCTATCGCTGGCTTTCCGAGAACCTCCATAATCCCTACCCTACACGCGAGGTCCGTAACAAGATCTGCCGCGAAACCAGCACCTCCCGCAAAGATCTCGACAACTGGTTCACCAACGCCCGACGGCGCATGGGCTGGACCTCCCTCCTCAAACACTTTGACGGAGACCGCGACCGCATGGTCGAAGCCGCCACCATCTTCTTCAGCGGCGAGATCGTTCACTGGGAGAACCGATATGACTTCACAGACATCGCTTTTTCCGACATGGAATCGACTTTCAAAGACTTGTATGCCAACAAGTTTGAGCAGAGTAACCTTGGGAGGAAGTTGGGTGGTGTTGTGAAGAATATGACGCCGGAGCTGCAGGAGGAGGAGCGGGCTAATAAGAAGAGGAGGGAGGAGCAGAGGGAGGCTGAGAGGAGGGCGAAGAAGGCGAGGATGGAAAAGGCGAAGGAGGCTGAAGCGCGGAGGGCGTATCCTTCGCCTGATCGGTCGCCTGGTCGCACTCCCGATCCGTCGTTGCCCTCTGAGGCGACCCCCACTCGGAAACGTCGCAGTTCAGATGATGATGAGGACAGTGATGCTGATGTTCACAGATCCAAAAAGCAGTCGCGGTATGTTTCCTTCTTGTTTGTCTTTGCCACCAAAGCTTACTCAAAATTCTTTCATCCGAAGAACCGATGATGCTGTAGCGAGCCTCCCCTCCCCCTCCCCCTCTGATACTGAGGATTCCAACTCGTCGCGCGATTCCACGCCCACACCCTCACCATCCAAACGAAAGAGGCGTCTATCCGATTCGGACGGCGCCGGCACGTTCAAGCGCCACCGTGGCGTACACTGGTTCACATCGCTCCGTGTCCGATCCATCTTCATCAATGAGCAGCACGAAGACTGAAAGTCGTCCCGTCGAGCTCTATGTTCCCCCGGACCTCGAAGGGTGGTTCGAGACGGCAGTTAGCCGAGTTCCCTCCAATCCTGAGGTAGGACGTGTTCAACTACTCCGCTATGTCTCCGTCGTCGCAGTACTCGGATGAGTCGTCGGCTGGTCGTGAGTCAGTGCTTTTCTTGTCCAGGTATAGTGTATCTGATTTCTCGCAGCTTCGACACCAACATCGGCCACGCCGGTAGAGTTACCAGTAGATGGTATCGCTCCTTCCGTGACGCTTCTCAACAACGGTTCGATATTGGACAGTATTTCTACTCCCGAATTCAGCATATCAGGTTTCGACCTTGAAGGTCTGTTACCTTCTGCCGTCCCAGGTATGTCTCTCCTTTTATCTTAGCCATTCTCTTCACTGACTGCCATCTACAGCAGAGAAACAATCCCCCGTCCCCGACACCAACCACCTTTCTGATCTGGATGCATTCCTAGAATCCTTCTCCGCGAACAACCTCTTCAGCACTTCTCCTGACTTTGCGGATCTCGACTTTGACTTTACTTCGTCGTCGACTTGGAAGCTTGCTGATAGTTTTTGATTCTTTATTTGCATTTCTTTTTCTTTTTCACTTGGCATTTATTAACTCACTGTATCGTTATTAGTTTTCACTTGCTGTCATTCTCACTGCACACATTGCTACTTACATTGCTGTCTTGTCATTTCTCATTGCACACATTGCTATCTTGTTATTCTCGCATATCTCATTGCTATTCCTGCTGTATCGCTACTTGCTAATTGCTAATCAAAGGCTTTTGTATACTAGTCTTGTGGTGGGGGTCAAGTTCGATAACTCTGATTGATATTTTTGAGGAACACGAAAAACCGAATCTCGTATGTGGTATCAATATCTGACCTCAAATTAAACGGCTTTGATTCAACATGAACATCCCATGGTTTTATTCCATTACATTTTGTGTCACCTCACTCCTTATAAGTTGAGTCTGCTTATGCTAACGGCGTCGGCTGCCCTATGCGTTTACAGACATCCAGGCAGCTAAGGTCAGTCGAATGCGCTTTACAAATCCAATGCCAAACGGTGACCTTTCGATGCTTAATCTCGAATTCTCCTACTGAGCGCTCTTTGTAACATGAAACAAAGCATCTCAGCAGTCTCTCAGTATATTTACATACATTTATCAATACGAACTTCTGCGGCACCTAATACGCTCTTGGCGACTATTTAGAGAACTTGGAGGCCTAGGCAAGATACACGTTAGCTCATAGCGATCCATATCACATCAAGAACTCACAAGACTGAGCAGTCCCGATAGACCACCAGAGTTGGCTCCACCGGTAGTCGAACCGCCCATCTTTGATTGCACGAACAGCTTCATGACGGTCATAGCCGCACCATTCACAGCATCCTGTTTGTTCCCAGAAGCTGCACCTCCAGACTTTTCGAATAGTTTGGTGGCTTCTGCCATTGCGAGACTGATAAGCTCAGTTTGAGACCCGGAACCGCCGCTGGAGCTGCCTCCAGAGGTGAACTTCTTGAGAGCCTTGGCGATGGAATTGGCATAAGGGCGTGGCTGTGATAGATGATGATGAATCGTACCTGGAGAGCGGCTGCACTGCCAAGAGAGTTGGCGCTGAGTGAGCTTGCAGAGCCTTCCTCATAGGCCTTCTTGTGAGCATTGGTGACGTGATCCTCGTCGATGGGCTGGTTGTGCTCTCCCTACGACGCCATCAGGATAATCATATGTCAGAAATGAGTCGGTACATACAACGTTCTGCTTGACAAAGCTCAATGCGGAGGAAAATACAGACGAATCAGCCGATCCATGTTTCTCTGCTGTTCTCACGACCTCGTCGTCGTCAACTGTGCTGTTGTTAGGAGGATGCGATGGTTATAGCAATTGTTACGGACATGACGGGCTACCAGTAGGTGGGCCTGAGTGATGAGGGGTATTATATTCTTGTCCTCCGGTCTTGGAGACGTCAGCTGGGTTACAGAACAATAGTCAGTCTTCGTGATCCCCTAGAGATCGAGGATGGAGACGTACATTGTGATTCACTGTAGGCCTCGTAGCCTTTCTTAGCGAGACTGATAAAGCTATCCTGTACAGCGAGGCTCAGTTATAAGAATCAGATTGCTAGCAAGGCAGAAAGTATATACCATGACGGGTGGAAGACAAGAACGATTTAGGCTACGGCCGACTGAATGTAGCTAAATATAGGCATGTAATTATGACGTCTACAATCGGTCACACTCGCGTTCGGTCACAACCTGTTTTCGGGTTGGTACGTCGTTGTTTTCACGTCCCTTCTTCCACAGCTCATCTCTTAGAATCAGACAACCATGTCGCGTCGGGTCACTCGAAGCATGGCGACGTCGAACGTTCCCATGCCCTCCTCTTTTAATCTCCTCCCAGTCGAACTACTCCATGAAATCGTGGACACTTGCGTCGACGAAGAGAAGGGTCCTCTGCTAGCTACCTTAATGGCGACAAGCCGGCGCCTGAGGAACTTTGCGCTGCCGCTTTTCTTCAGCATGATACACGTCACTACTCCGTCGCTCTTCAATCTCCTTCTTGATTTCCTTGATGACTCACCAAGTGAATATTATTCACACGTGCGGTATGTCTCATCCGTCCGACATTGGTAACTAAACTGACCTTCCATAGCTCTCTTAAAATTCATCTCCAAATATTCGATCTTCCGGAGCGAACGAGCTTCAAGAACTCGTCTATCCGCAGTCTCAAAAAGTTCACGGGTCTTCGTGTATTCGAAGCCGCGCTGGTCCGCGGGAAACAAAACCTTCTAGACGCGTTGTCGACGGGCTCACCGGGACTGCAGCACTTGGACATCAGCTGGAATGGGGTGAAGCATTTTCCCGACATGCGAGCGTTCGCGCAGCTTCGGAGTCTGCGCATGGTTACGCACGATCGTCCGCCCAGAGTCATTCCCCGCCTCTATGTCACTCCCCGAGTCACCCTCAACCACCTCACCACCCTCGCAATATCCCGTGTATCCCACGCTTGCCTCATGGATATTGCTAACGAGTACATCCTTCCCCAGCTACGCGTCCTGCGTTTCGACCATGCATGCCGCCCTAGAGCGGTATACCATTTCATTGATAGACATCCATCCCTTGCGGAAGTCAATGTCACTTTTCTGCCCTTTGGAAACCCCCGTCTTTACCCAATCACAAAAGTCATGCAGGGATCTTCAGAATGGATCCCGCTGTCAGTAGACACCTTGGATTTTGCCACGGGTATCAAGGATCCTCCAGGATATTCATGGGCGAGCATACTCATTCAGGAAGTCGCTTTCAAGCGCGTTCCCATCGAAGAACCCGATGATCCCAGTGTTCGGTATATCATTAAAGATCTGGCACTCATGACAGAAGATACTGCTGCGTGGCAGTTGGGATCACATTTCATGAACGTACTGAGCTTGGGCGGAAAGGTACCACTCTTTGACGATGTTGAAACACTCACTGTGCAGGCACTCGATGAATGGGCGCGTTATGCCTCGTTTTCGGCGTTCATGGTACGTGTCGCGTGTTGTTCCATGATGTTACTCACTAATTCAATTCACTTGCAGACCGAATTGGCTGAAAATCTCAAACAATGGCGTAAATTAAAGAAATTTACCGCCCATATCACCTCTTTATCCGCTTTTCATGCGTGGGGAGAGTTTCATCGCCGGCCCCCTCGTCCAGTATCGGATGCTCTCCGACAAAATAGTCCATTATTGCAGACCCTTCCACCAATATCCTCCCTGACTGGTGGACCTATCACTATTGTTACGATACTTGAGGCTCTGCAGGCCAGTTACCCGGACTTCATGGCGCGGGATCTGGCAGATGCACTGCGCGCTGAAGTTATCAACATCCTAGGCCCCGCACATGCGCTAGTTCCACCAGCTGGTCTGTACCTCGTTCCCGCATGGGAAAAAGTGAATCGGAACACGGTTAGTGCGGCGGTGCTGTATCTCGCGAAGCAATGTCCCTTGCTGGAGCAATTTGATTGGTACCTGTCGGTTGCTAGGGATAAGTACATTCAAGGTCCACTGTGGAGATGGAAGATTCAGCGAGATGAGAAGGGTGAGGCGACGTCGGTGTCTGGCGAGCTCATGTGGAAGGATCGGCCGGTCCTGTACATTATGGTTGGAAGTGAGCGTGAGCGGATGGCTAATCCAGGATGTAATGATGGGTAGAGTCTCAAATAAACTCAGTCAACGTCGCTTGTGAGTACACTTCCTTGCACATACATGTAAACAATATACTTATGCATAGCGTAGTGACATCGATCGTTTCCAAGGTTAGCGGCACTCCAGTCCGGGTGTTCAACTTTCCATGTTCATTATGGCAACGAACCTCTTTCCTGTGTCACCGAAAGGCTTCGAATTTCGGATCACATTGTTTGTGTTGTTAATATGGGATGGAACATTGCCTACGACTGTTCCAAAGCAGTATACATTTGATATATGCCTCCGCGCTACGAGTATACAAAATCTAGTCGCCGTTGCGAGGCGACCCCTTGGATTGAATCCGTCGTCGGAAAGCTGGTAGATGGATCGTACTTATTTGGTAGACGACGTTGTACATCTTTGATTGCCAGATGTATTGCAGGGCCCCTTGATGTGTTCAGTCTTGATTTTTGGTGATAAGAAGTTCGGGAGGCTCCATCTCATCAAATGTTCGCGACGTGTGTATATCTACCGAGATCAATGGCACTTAAACGGCCTTCGGGGCTTTTCCACGGAGCTTCTCACAAGAGGTCGAAAATGGGCCTCAGCGGATTCAAACAAGGTTACTTGAGTGCTTAGGCCGATGGTGACGGCTATTGTTATCTTTGGAAATTCGCAAAGATTACTTATAAACTCTAGAATAAGGTCTCTACACGCTTGGAACGAGCCTGTCCAGATAAATTAGATTATTGCCCACGCCAATTAATACGTGGAGATGCCACTCACCAACCATATTTCACCATCTCATCAGCGTTTATGATTGCAGCCGCGATGAACTCCCTAGCCTCTAACCAAACCCACACTTTCAAGAATGCTCCCAAATCGCTTTGTGGGAGGTCCCTTGTCATAACCTCTCTTGAAGCCATCTGCCCGCCCAACTGCCTCAGAATCGGAAGAGCGCTCTTGAACAAATCCAACCCAGGATCCAACTGCCGCCCAATACCCTCTAGCAATAATATCGAAATGACCGTATTAATAAAATCACCCTCCATTTTTACGTGGTGTTCTCGAACGCTTTTCAGTACGTCTGTCAGAACGTCAGATATCTTGATCTGACCGAGCGAGAACGTCTTGCGCTTGACGGTGAGCACAAGATGCTGCATCTTGAGCGCGAATGTCTCCGTATCTATGGCTAATTCTGGTGTACGACACCGTTCCACCATCAACTGTCCTGTTCGGTATCCGTCGAATTCCGCCATCGCGCGAAACAAGTCGAGAAAGTTGGTGCGGTTGGTAGCAGAAAGGGTCGTTACAAGGCCAGCATCAATGAAAATTATCTCAGGAATATAGCCGTCATTGTAAAGAGTGGAGAGCTCCAGCAGCCACTCTGACTGGCTGTCGACGAGGCTCCGCAGGCGCGATACCACTTCTATCGAATCGGAGTAGTCGGGAGGAGAGGTGGGAGGAAGTTCGGAGCTTGATTTGAAGATGGACGTCCATATGGAATTGAAGGCATTTTTGAGGAGGTGGCGGGCCGTCGCTGGCTTTGAGAACTTGACCATAATGTTTCCCGGATGGAGGTCGGAGTGCACAAAGTTGTCCAGAAGAAGCATGTTCTGGATCTTCGGTTAACCTTGACTCAATCTCCAAGGATAGCAAGCTCACCAAGAACGCGTCTAGCCCTACAGTCGCAACCTGCTCATCGTAAGGTCCGCCGCCATTTTTCAAGAACCATTCCATCGGCAGAGCATCCTGGAACTCTTCAATCAATAGATCCTTCGTCGACCATACTTTCAGAGGCCGAGGAAAGGTGACTGGGACTTTCCGAGGTGAAAAATTGCTTTCAAACGTCAAGAGATTCTCTGCTTCATGACGAAGATCCAACTGTTGGAACATCATATCGCCAAAGACCTTGACCTCCTCTGGTAAAGATATCCATTGCATACCGGGAAACAGCGTGAGGACTTTTGCGAAGAAGGTCATGATGGAAAGATCCCGTGTGATAGTCTTCGTCACACGGGGATGTAAGACTTTTATTGCCACCGCAGCCGTAGGAACAGAAGGAGGAGGGTCTTGCAGGAGGGCAGGAGCGACGATTGCACCAGGATGTGACTTTCTGGGACGGCGAGGTCCAAGGTACGAGGGAGGGAGGAGATCTTTCTTGAGAGTCGCTCGATAGACCTGAGCAATGGCACCTGTTCCAATGGGGGTCTCGTCAAACTCTTCGAATACCTCATTGAAGGGTCTGCGGAAAGCGTCAGCAATAACCTTCTTGGTGTGTTCTAATGGATGGGGAGTGCCGCTGGAATGGAGTTGGCCGAATCTCTTACACAGTTCGGAAGGAAAGAGATCAGCACGAGACCCAGCCCATTGTGCAAGCTGACTGGATGTTAGCTTTCAATTCTGAATTCAATAGGCTGTCACCCACTTTAGTGAAGGTTGGTCCAGCTGCCTCCATCTTTGTGACAAGAAAGTCATACCACCACACGGCACCCCACCTGTCGCCATTCAATCGTTTCTCCGGAGAGCCGACAAGAAGCATAGGTGCGGATAAAAGCACTGGCATGAAGAGTACCAGGAGATGTACGAAACGTCGTGCTGTCAGCAGTGGCTCCCATATCCGGTGGCGGATGAACGACATAATACGAGAGGTTATTGTCATATCCATCTCCGAAGGCGAAAAGATGGTCGGTGAAATCGTCTTCCTCTGCGGAGGACATGGTATTAGGGTCGGAGAGGAAAAGAGGCCTGGAAGTAAAGATTTCGGTCTTGGAGTCATATAAAGGGTGAGCCCGCCCGCCAACGGTATTATCCATAACGCTCGACGCCCGAGAGAGAAACGAGGGATGGGAGTGCGAGAGAAGAAGGAAGGGAATGTTGAATGTCGTGACCAATTGGAAGCGTGCCTTGGCGTAAAGTTGTGCAGGTGAACCGGGCCTTTTGTGAACAGTACGGAGAACCGTGCTCGACAAAAGAGCATATTCGGCCTATATGCTACTAGTTATCGCCAATATGTTGAAATAATAGACATCCGGTACCGATGGCGGTGGCGGAGGAGGTCGTGGTTGTGGTACCGGGTTAGGACGGTCCTGACGTCAGATTTTACGCCACCTCCTCCTGGACTGCGTCTGTCATTCTTCTTTCCACGTTCCTTGCAAACATGTTCTCAGAGAAAAGCCACCGTTTACGTTTCACTGTAAGAACGGGGTATGTGTACACTTGGTATACCTTACTTTATAAAATACTTTCCAAGTTGGCGTTACGGAAGATTCAGATTAGTCCACCTGATCTGTGGTCTGATGGAACGGCCCTCGGATGTTCATAAAGGGGACAGCGAAGCACGCAGTATTCACTCAGCGAGGGAGAAGGCTCCCTTTTGTTCGTTCCATTCTATTCCCACTGCACCCTACCGCAAGCTCTTCGAGTTTTCTACGATCCTTTTACCCAGGAGGTAGGACAACGTGAGGGAAATCGCCAGACAAAACAAGGAAAAGAGGTAGGTCTGGCGGAACAAATCCTTATCAGGTTGAATTTACCCTTGTTGGCAGATTGCAATTTTGCTTTTGACTTCCATTCCCCTCCCATCCTTTGGACTGTCCATGGCAGCACCGTATGCGTTCGCCACCCTCTTGACGTCCGATTTTTACCTTCCTGGTGCTCTTGCTCTCGCCGCAGCCCTCAAGGATGTCCATCCTACCCCTGCCATTCCGCCCGAGGTGGAATTTCAGACAGTCTGCCTAGTAACGCCAGAGACAGTTGATGTCTCTACCATCAAACTGTTACGCAAGGCATACGATGTTGTAATTGGTGTTGAGGTGATCGCGCAAGAGGACGATAAAGGTCTCAAATTGTTGGGTGAGTCTGCTTTCCCTCTCTATGACAATCCTCAGACGCGTCGCCTTTGCGTCAATGTCACACGTTGCCCACTGCATCGACATTTCACATACGTAATCCAGATCTTACACCTCAGGACGCGTCAGAGCGCTCAAGATCCATACAGCGTTCTGCATGTTCCGTCGCTTTTGCCTGAGTCTCTATTCTCTTTGCAGCACTATCTTATATGCGTTTCGTTTGCTCATGGTATCATTCTCGTCACAGGTCGTCCTGACTTGAACACAGTCCTCACGAAGCTTCACGTTTTCCGCCTTACACAGTACTCAAAAATTATATTCATGGACGCAGATGTCTTGCCCATCTGGCCACTTTCGCATTTGTTTTCGCTTCCACACGAGTTTTCTGCAGTGCCCGATGTCGGATGGCCCGATATATTCAATTCAGGTGTCATGGTATTGTCCCCCGGAGAAGACAAATTCACTGAATTAAACACTCTGTTCAAATCGAAGGGGTCGTGGGATGGCGGAGATCAAGGTCTGCTGAACGAATGGAGGGGAGGAGACTGGAATCGGCTCAGCTTCACGTATAACACCACTCCAACAGCTGCATATACGTAAGTATGGCGCCTTACATCCACTGTTCCACCTTCTTATTGCAATCTTGCAGGTATGCTCCAGCTTATGAACGTTTTGGGTCCCAGATCAAAGCCATCCACTTCATCGGCCCTAACAAGCCTTGGAATTTAATTCCCCATCGGCCACCATTCTCAGGCAAAGCAGATTCTTCCCCAGTAACGGAATTTTCCCAAGCTTACGACTATACGTCTCTGTTGGATCGCTGGTTCTATGTTTATGACACATACTATCGGTCACAGAGCATTGTCCCTGAGGCAGAGTTCGAAGTCAAGCGGTATACTTCCGCATGGGACGAGCAGTCTGGTGCGGAAGCCGAGGCTGTATCCGTTGTCAGCTCTATAGTGCCGACCAGTGCACTGGGTTTGGAGGATCTGAAGCGGCTTGCTTTGGAAGGTATGAGTGTAGTCCCATCTGACAATCGGTCTGGAGAAGGCGATTACAAAAGCATGCCGTTGGAAGGACGCGTTGACTTGATGCGCCCTCGACCAGAGCCCCAAGAAGCGCAACGCGAAGCTACAATCATTACTCGTGAACCGCAAGCAAAAGTTGTACCTTCGACGTCTGTACAATCCGATGACTTCCCAACGTATCGTCCACCCCCACCAGCACCAAGCAACATTCCCCCAAGCTCCCATCCCCAGTCCATACCTTTGCAGCCAATTTTTTCGATCCCGCCACCGCAGCTGCAAGCTGATGATATGTATCACGAGCCTTCCCATCCACCAGGCAACCTGCAAGCTGATATTGTGTATCATGAGCCTACTCATCCACTTGACGACCTGCAATCCGATATTACGTATCATGAGCCTCCTCGTCCACTGGACCAACACGAGCAACTAAAGGGTCAGGAGCAGTCTCGTCTTGAGGTACCCTCTTATCCTGCAGAAGCTCCAAAGAAGCAAACTCAGCGGCTAGAGCAACGTCCACCCCCTAGACCCGTTTCTCCGCCTAAAGTTGCTTGGAATCCTGCCATCGAACCTCCTCCAACTACAGCACCTGCATCTTCTGTTTTCCCGTCGGACACGTACTTCCCAAACGTCTGGGATCAGCGTCCTAGTAAATTACATGATCAAGCACGTCAGTATCGCGCTCCACATCAGCAACCATCTTCACCCACTCCAGACTCTGGTGCATTCTTTCAACCCCCGCCTACGCCTGAAATACCAGAGTCTCTACGCAAACAAGGACACTACCGCCAAGTTACTGGAGACGATCACCTTGGACTATCACCCAGTCCCGATCGTTCCAAAGTTAAGCCTGTCTTCCCATGGGAGGAGCAGCCGCGTCACATGCCTGGACGCGTATTTCCTGCTTCAGATGCACCCTCGCCATCGCAGTTCTTGAGTCCGGTATCGGAGGAACCCTTGCCTCTTGCAGCGCCATTTTCGCCTCCCTTTTCGTCTCGGTCGCAGACACTTTCACCTTTACAAGGCTTACCCGCGTCACTGACATATGCAAATGCATGGGATACTGTACCCAGTATACAAAAGTATGCGTCAAGATTAGTACGATCACCTGTGTTGCCCTTAGCACCCGCCTTTGAAAGTGACGACTGGCGTCGACGTGGAGGACGTAGTTGGGATGATCGTACTGAAGCTAGCAGCCGAGATGGAGACGATGAGGATAACGCTGATGACGATGATGAAGCGCCAGCTCAAAGTCTTTGGGCAGAAGATAGCGACAACGAAACTCATACCTCCAAAGCTCGATCGCGGGGATCTTCCGTCTCCTCAGGCTACGTCAGTAAGGCTAAAAAGAAAGAGTACCGAGTACGTGGCGTTCAAACAATATCTCCTGAAATGCGGAGTCAAGGCGTTCAAGTTGATACGATTTCGCAGTCTCCCTCCCGTTCGACTGATAAACTTGGTAGTACCCGAAAACAGTGGGCACCGTTAAGCGTGGCTACTCCGTCAGCGCCTGTTGTCGTTAGCCAAGTCAGCGGAGGTCCTGAACTGTCGATGACGACAACGTACCCCTCTCCAGCCGGGGGCATGCGCTCGCCACGAGAGTATGCGTTTCCTGATACACCAGGCACCGCTCGTGCAGGCAAAGAGGCTTCCGCTATCTCTCCTCCTCCGAGACAGGCTGAAACAGGAAGCCCCAGCATTGCACGCCAGCTCTCACATGATGGGTCTTCACTAGCATCTCCACCATCTTCGGTAGGCCCGCTATCCCCTCCGGACAGTCAGCCCTTTTCTGTTACCTCTCCCCGCAAACCCGGCCGCGTGTTCGATCCCGCTCGCGGCGTAGAGGTGTTCAAGCGCGGCTCTGAAGAAGTATTAGCGCGTTTCCTGAAGATGAGCTCTTGGGAGGAGTAGGAGCAGGCTGTATCAGTCGTCTAACATGATGTGGTTTCATTTTCTCAAACTTCTCTCTTTTAAGACTGCTTTCGATGATCATATATTTTTCGTTTGATGCTGCCAAAAGTTTCATATGAACATTTCTGGTTTCTCTTTATCCGGTTCCTACGTATACACCTATCAGGACTCATTATACCTCACACATTGAATTGTTCTCGGCTGTAGCATGTACTTAAAATGCAGGGATACCCACTGCTGTCCACTTCTGTCCGTTTATACATATGTCGTCATAAGTACCTGTTTTTTACTATGACGTATATGACGTCACTCTCAGTCGTGAAGGGACCATTCAGCGACCAATACAAATATAAACGCACCGTCATGGATAAATCGATTTTCTTCCTAACACGCTATGTCTTCATCACCTGGAGTATTCAACGTTAAAGAGCCACAAGGTGCTGAGTGAGTTCGCGGTTTCTACGATATCCTGAACTCTACTAGTACTGACACCTCATTGCAAGGCTTGCCCAAGCGCAAACCACCGCCGCAAGGGCCCAAGTAACGGCTCCGACACCCCAAATCGCGCGTCAAGAAGAGAGGGCTTTGGATGCTGCCAAAGAAGCGGCCCAGAATGCTGTTGCAACTGCCCAGGTAAGTTTCCAACGTGACAACTATTTATCGCGAATTGTACCATGTTTTGTAGGCGAAGGGTCCAGCATTTACCAGCCAATCGCCCTCTGCCCTTGACACCCTTCAACGACAAGTTCAAGAGACCACAAACGCTGCGGTAGCTGAAGGAAAGCAGGACGTCGAAGCAGCCAAGTCCTCCGGAACAGGATACCTCGAGCAGGCCAAGGAACTCGCCAGTAATACGATCACTGCAGTTGACTGTTCGAGATAATTATCTTCCGACGGATTTCGTTGAATAGCAATTTTACCAGCAATATCTCCCTGGTACTAATGCTACAATCACCAAAGCATCCGAGTCGCAAGGGACTACCGCAGGTGTTGGATCCGCTTCCACGGCGCGAAACACAACTTCACAACTTCAAGCAGGTGCGACCGCCGCCGTGGAGACTGCCAAAGAATACTACGTTTCTATGGCACAACCTCAAGTGGAGAAAACAACAGAAGCTGCACAGAGTTACCTGCACAGTCTTCAAGGACAGGGATCAATGGCGAAAGTTGGACATAGTGATACAGATGACGTTTCGTGAAAAGATTGTGACAGTTTTTCTCGGCATCATGATACATGGGAAAGATGGACGACCGCTCACCCTAATAGTGTTTATAATTTTTTACAAGTGCCTGCCGCGTGCCGAGGCGAGTACGACCTTGCTGAATCTTGTCCTTGAACCCTATTGCTGTCTCTTTCGAGTCGACCTTTTCATTGGCAATGCTCCCGACTCAAAACATGTAAGGAAACACTGAAAGCGACGATTCCTCGTCGGGTTGATCTACGTAAGTCATACCAATATGTTACGAAGTGTTTGCGTGGCACGTCTGCTTCTTTGAACACCGATATACCAGTCGTATACCTCGCAGATCATTTGTACATTGAAAAATCCACACTGCATAGTGCCAAACCATCTCTAATAAGAGTCCCCGAACTCAGACCCATAATCTATTCCAAAATTCCGACCGGTGTCACGACGCCGTGCGCTCGTTCGCCAGATGTCGATACGTCATGTCCGCGCAAAAGTCGTCGTCCAGGGAGAGGCTGGGGTGCGAGGTGTACAATAACAGCTAGACGCAAAGGATCTCGATCAGTAACGAAGACAGTCGACATCGTGCGACGTGCGTACTATGTCCAGTTTACCCTAGCCCTATACTCCTTGTATCCCCAACAATACCCCGACGCCATGCTCTCGCTTGCCGGACGTCGATACATGGCGTCGAGGTAAAACCAGTCCCTCCTAAGACTACCTGCCGTCCCTACCCTATGCGAAGTTTCGCCGTGGGTGTGTTCACCGGTTTTGAATACATCATCTAGGCGCAGACGTCTTGCTTGCCGGAAGACGATCCATTGTCTCCAGCCAAAACTCGGACACCTACACACCAGGATGGGGTGGGGTCATATTTCGCGCAGTCTCCAGGCATACTCACTCCCTCCTCGCACCAGACAGGAGGCAACGTCCTCTTCTACTTTCCAACAACGCACGTTACTAGCCATTGAAAGACCAGCGCAGCGGGAACAGGTAGACGTCGTTGAGTGGTAGGGGATGACGCAATATCGGAAGGGAATGTCCGACTGAAGGAGGGTCGTGGGGATGGGTCGTTGGGTTGGGGTTGATGTCGATTTGTCATAGTGTGGTGGATACGTGGCAAGTGGGAGGAGAGAATAGCAGAATCTAGTGAACGGATAAGGATCAATGGCGTAGAGCACTAACAGATGTACTCACCAGTATCATATTGGACTGCGTGCATCATGCGCAAACCTGAATATAATATATCGATGGCGGCTGAAAGCTTCATCAGGACCATGAACAGTAGATGGGCGAGCTCATTCCCATATAGGCTTACGAGATAGGTGGTCCAGGCGATCACACCTAGCTCCGCGGTCCTGGTCATCCTTGGCTATTCCCTCTGCCAGAAAAGCATTCAGTTTCCACTCTGCCTCGCCTTTTCCTGTATTTTCCCCCTGGACGAGCTCCTTTAGTACCTCGACTATCACCTTGTGGTCCTTTTACAAGCTTGTACCGATCCTCGTCTTGCGGGCTGATATACGTGATAATGATCTTGTTGGGTACAATGTTCTCGTGTATTGAGCATGGGATGCCAAAGGGAGACTTTCCCTCTGCAAGTGTCCAGAGACGAAGTTAGAAAGTGTGCTTCTTGTTGGTGGCAAGAAGGACAGATGCAGTGTTAATTGTGCTAGGACAGCACAGCGAGTAGTACTAGTCCTCGTAAGTGGAACAGACTATAAAGTGCGACGCATGAGCATCAGCGAAGGGAAATACGGAGAAGGTATTAGTCACTCACGATCCAATTCTTAAGCAATTCCCCAGATGTTCAGGTTCAAACGTTCAATATTCAATGTGCGAGGCGACTTTTTGAAGCTAGTGCTGCAGGTGCGATAGAGTCGAGATGGTAAACGGCTGAGTACTGAGTACTGAGTCTTGACATGCTGCACGGCTACGTTGTATTTGTTTGGTTTTGGCAGATGCGAGAGTAGGAAGAGGACTGCTGGATTGAGCACAGCCACCTATTTGTACTTAATTGCTTTTGGCAGACGACGGAAAAGGAAACTTTATGACTGTGGGTTGACCTTGCTTTTCAGCAAGGTAATAATGGGATGAGACTAATGCGCAACCCCCTTCTTTCGAAGAATCCCCGGGTTTCTCAAGAACCCGGTTCCTCAATGGGATTGAACATCTTTTCATCCCGACCGCAAATCGGCACGCCGGCCGGTAATGCCTCACACATTCCTAATTGGGACTAGTTTCGATATCGTCGTCGGTTGTCCTGTTTCTTCATTGCTGCCCCATCTCTGCCAATTTTTATGCTGCTAATCTGTTACTAGACATTCAACAACTTATTTTCACTATGCGATAGTCTATCCTGCCCCCAAAGTGCCTCAGAAAGGCAGGATTATCTCCACACCACGAGCTAGCTTCTTTTCATGCATCCGCTGTTGTCGTTGGGACCAGGGACAAGGGGTTACGTTCTCCTACATTGGAGTGGGCTATTGTGAGTCTTACGATTCTCTGCATACAGGCTTGTTTTGCTAATTAATGACTAGATACTGTCTAGGTTTTTGTGTCATAGTGTTATCATTGTGCTGTATCCACTGCTATGAAACGTGCAATTTTCCGGTCTTCAAACATGTTACACAATGTACCTGAGATATGAACATCAACACGCTTGGAGAGAAGCCAGATCCTGTAATAGTGAAATGGTGCGCCCCAGTTGATTATAAACTAGAAATATACACATGTCGTTAGCGTGCTGCTATGGTTATTCTCTCCCTCCTCCTGGCGCAGATGAGGACTATGCACAATGTCTTCACACACCTATATGGAATATGAAACGCCAGTCCATCACATCGCCTATAGTATCTCTCATCTATCTACGTCATCATTCGCGCAAGTCTACGACACGTCGACGTCTTACCCTTTGCTCCTCAAAACATCATCAGCTGGTGGGAGTTCGAAGAGGACGAACTGATAACAACTGCTGGAACTCTTATTCACCCTCACGATACTGTTTTTCGCCGGCTCGACCTTTTTCCGATAATACAGTTGATGAAGAATGAATATGCCAAAGGGCGGCCGTAGCCTACGTGTTGTCTGCTGGAATGGGTATCCGCACGAAGCCTCAGTGTTCTATTTTAGTGAAGTATTTTGTCTTTTCTCTATCCAGATGTTAGATACCGATTGCCGATGTATGTCAACACAATCTTTGATACGACGTCCCCAGGCAGCCGACGCTCAAATATTGTTAAAGACTCGACGATGATCCAACTGCATTGGAGAGGTCATAATCGTACTATGTGTCTTCAAACCCACATATATATTCTGAGATATCCCTCTGTACGACGTATATAAGCACCGGCTAGTAGACTCAAATGAATCCCATGCATGGCGTGGGCCGGCGCCCTGTCACGCTCCCCGGGACATGTGTCGAAAGAACCGAGTTGCTGCATAGTCACTCAGGCACCAATAGGGTTCTTTCAACGAAGGGGGTTGCGCATTAGTTTTTTCCTAATAATGCCTGTTATCGTTCAGCCGAGTCGGCCACAAATGATTGAGTTTTTGATGACATCACTTGCTATCGTGCTTGACCTCGATGACTTTACCCCAGATCCTTCTAGAGCAACTCAAGAAAGTTAATCCAGCAGCCGAGTTTTCTGGATCGCTGCCAAGGATTCAGTCATCTCTGGGCGACACATATTTCGCCAAAGTGGGTCGTCCGAGCGAAGCTGAACAGTATGAAGGGGAAGTCGAGTCACTTAAAGCCATTAATGCCGCTGCGCCCGGTCTGGCACCTAAGGTCATCGCGTCTGGTATTGAGAATGGTCGCCCATATTTCATCTCAGAGTATAAGGTCCTCGGAGGCCTGTCGAACTCCTCTGGAGCGGAGCTTGGAAAGCGTTTGGCTACCGAATTACACCGGTATAGTTCTGACCGCGGCTTTGGATTTCATGTGCCGACGTTCTGTGGGGCTACCCGTATGAAAAACGGGTGGTTTGACACTTGGGAGGAATGCTACAGTGAGATGATAGGAGACTTACTTAACCAACTCAAGGGGGAAGGAGGGCGGTACGACAAGCTCTGTCGGAAAGGAGAGGAGATCAGAGAGAGGTTAGTCGTTTAAGACTCCAAGATAATTATTTAACACACAGTTACACAGGGTTATCCCAAATCTTCTAGGTACGACAGTTGTCCTTTATGAGAGCGTCGAATGTTGAAGTAGAAAAAGGACCGTTGAAGATTAAGCCGGTCCTATTGCACGGCGATCTGTGGGTGAGGTCTCCATTTTTTTACACGAGAGGATATGTACTGAAGATGGTCAGAGTGGCAATACTGGGCTCGAGAGGACAACTGGAAAGCCGATAATATTTGATCCATCATCATTCTATGGGCATAACGAAGCAGAGTAGGTACACAGATTGAGTTCCTGTATACTATTGACACGTACCACAAATAGTTTGGCTATCGCGAGAATATTCGGCGGAATTCCTCGGTCATTCTTTACAACATATCACCAACATTTTCCCAAAACCGAGCCTATCGAACAATACGAGTTGCGAGGTGACTTGTATGAGCTCTTCCATTACTTAAACCACACAGTCTTGTTCGGAGTGAGTGCATAAACCAACACTATTGGATTATCGCCTAATGAGACTCGTTATAGGAAGGCTACGCATCAAGTGCAGAAGGAAAGATGGACAGGCTGCTAAGAATTGTGTGAAGTTTTTACACAACATATGTAAACAAATGAGCCATTCAAGCTCAACACCTGTAAATAGTGGCTGAATAACTTCTTGATCCACAACCAACGAGACGGGCCTTTACCTATCTAGTTCCACCTAAGCACTCTATAACGTGCGCACTTCCAAGCTTTACGTCTCGCTGCCCGAACGATATTTTCCCATTCCGCTGCCTGAAGACCGCGTCGGCTTCCGATTCGAGCTCTGAAGTTCGATTCCACATTTTTGGCGTCTGAAATTGGGACATGAGTCAAGGTATCACTGTAATTAGCATTTTAGGATCTCATCTATTAACACTCACTGAAGAATTCGACTACTCTGAAGACCCTTATACATATGACGACACGAATTATGATGTGGGCGAGGAAGAGGAAGATGACGACTACAAGGAGATAACGCAGGAAGATTGTTGGACCGTCATATCAAGTTTTTTCGAACAAAAAGGTCTCGTACGGCAGCAACTCGACTCGTTCGATGAGTTTGTGCAAAATACCATGCAGGAATTGGTCGACGAGAATGCAGACATCATTCTTGACCAGTCGGACCAGCACACCGGCCGCGATGGTGACATGACGCGACGTTATGAAATCAAGTTCGGCCAAATTTATCTCTCTCGCCCCACAGTCACAGAAAGTGATGGTACTGTGGTGCCTGTGTTCCCGCAAGAGGCTAGGTTGCGCAATCTGACGTATTCAGCGCCGCTGTATATCGACATGACGAAGAAAGTCATGGTTGGACGTGAGGATCCAGACGCTGCGCCTGGAGAGACGCAGTGGGAGTCGGAGAGCGTCAACACTGACACCGCAAAAGTCTGGATCGGCAAGGTAAGTTTTGCTCACCTCGCTTCACTGACAGTCTCACTAACGAGGAACAAGGTGCCCATCATGTTACGGTCGACGTTTTGTATTCTCCGTGGGCTTCAAGACCAGGATCTTTATGATTTGAATGAATGCCCGTACGATTCTGGAGGATACTTTATCATTAACGGATCCGAAAAAGTGTTGATCGCCCAGGAACGTATGGCTACAAACCACGTCTACGTTTTTGCCAAAGCACAACCGGCGCCTATTAATTTTCTCGCTGAAATTCGCAGTTTGGTGGAGAAGGGAGGAAAGACTATCAGTCAGTTCCAAGTGAAGATGTTCCATAGACACCAAGAGCGTTCGGTGGGTACTGTGCCACTTCATTCCGAAATGATGCTTATAAGTGCCTTAGCTCGGAAATGTGATGAAGGCTACGATTCCGTACATCAAAGTCGACATTCCAATATGGGTGGTCTTCCGAGCTCTTGGTGTCATATCGGATCGTGATATCCTAGAACATATCTGCTATGACATGCAAGACGCACAGATGCTTGAAATGCTCAAACCCTGCATTGACGATGGGTTCGTCATTCAGGACCGTGAAGTGGCATTGGACTTCATTGGAAACCGTGGAACTACCACCGGTCTTTCTCGTGAACGTCGAATACGGTACGCGCAGGAGATTTTGCAGAAGGAGATGTTGCCGCACGTGTCGATGTCGGAGGGTTCAGAATCCAAAAAGGCATACTTCTTTGGATACATGATTCATCGACTCCTCCTTGCTGCCTTGGAGCGCCGAGAGCTCGATGATCGTGATCACTTCGGAAAGAAACGGTTGGACCTAGCTGGTCCGCTACTTGCAAATCTTTTCCGTATGCTATTCCGAAAATTCAATCGGGACGTGTACCGGTATCTCCAGAAGGTATGCATCTGGATGACTTCCAGTCGAGTTTTCTGACCTTCAGGTAGTGTGTGGAAACACACAAGGAGTTCAATGTCAGTATAGGCATTAAACACCAGACCATCACGAATGGCCTCAAGTACTCTCTTGCCACCGGCAACTGGGGCGACCAGAAGAAGTCAATGTCATCTAAGGCTGGTGTGTCGCAGGTGCTCAATCGTTATACTTATGCGTCGACGCTTTCACATCTTCGTCGGTGTAACACGCCCCTCGGACGTGAAGGGAAAATTGCTAAGCCTCGACAACTCCATAATACACATTGGGGAATGGTTTGCCCTGCCGAAACACCAGAAGGCCAAGCTTGTGGTCTAGTCAAAAACTTGGCGCTGATGTCGTGCATTTCCGTCGGATCGTACTCTGCGCCTGTTATCGAGTTTTTGGAAGAATGGGGTCTAGAAACTCTTGAAGAGAATGCTCATTCGGCAACGCCTTGCACAAAAGTGTTTGTCAACGGTGTCTGGATGGGAGTTCATCGCGATCCAGCAAACTTGGTCAAGACGATTAAGAAACTGCGGAGAAAAGATGATATCAGTCCTGAAGTATCTGTGGTGCGGGATATCCGAGAGAAGGAGCTACGATTGTACACGGATGCGGGGCGAGTTTGTCGACCGTTGTTTATCGTCGAGAACCAGCAGCTGGTTTTGCAAAAGAAGCATATCAAATGGCTTGTTCGTGGAACTAATGACGACGGCGAGGAATATAAATGGGAGCAGCTGATAAAGGGTGGCGTTATCGAGTTGTTGGATGCGGAGGAGGAAGAGACTGTCATGATATCAATGACGCCGGAGGACCTCGAGAATTCTAGGCTACAACAGAGCGGAGTCGACATCCATGCGAACGATGGTGACTTCGATCCTGCTGCTCGTTTGAAGGCTGGTATTAACTCCCACACATGGACGCATTGTGAAATCCATCCTAGCATGATTCTAGGTATTTGTGCTAGTATCATTCCATTCCCAGATCATAATCAGGTATGTGATTGTGGACGCTGCTTCTGCTAAGTTTACTGACGTCTGGGTCCTTTATTTCAGTCTCCTCGTAACACCTACCAATCCGCTATGGGCAAGCAAGCGATGGGCATATATCTTACCAACTTCCTCATTCGCATGGATACCATGGCCAACATTTTATACTACCCCCAAAAACCTCTCGCCACTACTCGATCCATGGAATATCTCAAATTTCGGGAGCTACCAGCTGGACAAAATGCCATCGTAGCTATTCTGTGCTACAGCGGATACAATCAGGAAGATTCCGTCATCATGAACCAGAGCTCTATTGACCGAGGATTATTCCGGAGTATCTACTATCGAAGCTATATGGACGTGGAAAAGACCAACGGCATACAATCACTAGAGTATTTCGAGAAGCCCATGCGAGAGAGCACACTTCGGATGAAGCACGGCACGTACGACAAGTTGGAAGACGATGGTCTCATTGCCCCAGGTACCGGTGTGGTTGGAGAGGATATCATTATGGGGAAGACTGCACCTATTCCTCCAGATAGTGAGGAGCTTGGTCAGCGTACCCGAATGCATACGCGACGAGACGTATCAACGCCGCTGAAGAGCACAGAACGTGGCATCGTCGATCAAGTGTTGGTCACTACGAATTACGAGGGTCACAAGTTCGTCAAAGTTCGAGTTCGGTCCACCCGTATCCCTCAAATTGGAGACAAGTTCGCTTCAAGGCATGGTCAGAAAGGTACTATTGGCATCACCTATCGACAAGAAGACATGCCCTTCACTTGCGAGGGCATTGTGCCGGATATCATCATCAATCCTCATGCCATTCCGTCCCGTATGACAATCGGGCATTTGGTCGAATGTCTGCTTTCCAAAGTGGCAACGCTTATTGGAAATGAAGGAGATGCCACTCCTTTCACAGACCTTACTGTCGAGTCGGTTTCGACCTTCTTGAGGCAGAAAGGTTATCAGTCTCGGGGGCTCGAGGTGATGTACCACGGGCATACGGGACGTAAACTGCAGGCGCAAGTTTATCTTGGACCGACATACTATCAACGTTTGAAACACATGGTGGATGACAAGATTCACTCTCGTGCTCGAGGGCCGGTGCAAATCCTTACAAGACAACCTGTGGAGGGTAGAAGTCGAGACGGTGGTCTGCGTTTCGGAGAGATGGAACGTGATTGTATGATCTCTCATGGTATTGCCGGTTTCTTGAAAGAGCGACTGTTTGAGGCTAGCGATGCCTATCGATTACACGTTTGTGACATGTAAGCCAACCTGTGACATGGCCTGCATAGCTGCTGATCTTTTATTTTTTGTAAAAAATAGATGCGGCTTAACAGCCATCGCTAACCTGGTAAGCTGCGTCTCCTGCGCGTAGTCACATCTCTGATATCTCATTTCATCCAGAAAAAGCAAAATTTCGAAGTAAGCGTTCTTTTATCTTTTCTGGTCTCTATTAACCGTCCTCTAGTGCCGAGCGTGCAAAAACAAAACTGCTTGTTCGCAGCTTTATATTCCCTACGCTGCAAAGTTACTCTTCCAGGTATGTGTGACATTTTAGGACATTTCATCAACGCCGTGACTGTATCACTCACTGACTTCCGTGTGACATCAGGAATTACAAAGCATGAACATCGCTGCACGCCTCTACACCGTTTCGTCGGGTCGGATTCGAGACTAATGTTGATTACTTTGCTGTCTATGTAGGTGTGACACTGTATGTAATATACAAGATGAGAAAACCATCCGATGTTACGACAAGGCAAATATTAATAAGCTGGGAACGAAATATACTTACTAGTATCAATCATCTCGATTCCTTGTTTCGTCACCTCCGCTCATAAGACCCCGCCGCTCGTCTTCTCTGCCATGGCTATCGGTAGAACGCCGCCCTGCGCGCTTTTTAGTCGGCGAATCTTCATCGTCGCTCGCTCCTTCATCACCGATTTCGAAGACAACACTATCCTCTGTGACACCGCCTACCGCTCGCGTTCCACCCACTAGTGTTGCCTCGTCGTCCTCACGAGCTCTGGTACGACTTTCCAGAGCTTCCAAGTCATAGTCCTCGGCGTCCTCTTCGTCTTGGGCAATTTCATCCGACATCGCTAATGTAGATATCCCAAGTCAATAAATAAGCAACTGCACCAAACATTCATACGCAAAAAATGATACATATCTTCTGTTGTTCTCCGATGGTCGCCAGAGGTATGCTATTGTTACGAAGGCGGCAAGGTAAAGTAAAGCCAGCCAGCCATCGAGAAGCCACCAGCGGACTTTCCAAGACTTTGCGGCATAGTCTGTAATAAAATATCGTTGAATAGGATGACAAGGCATGAATGAGTCGAGGGTACCTTCAGCCAGTCTGCCCGAGAAAGAGAATGAAGATACGATAAAGAATATGGCGATCACAACGACCGTTAAAAGAAGAATGCGGTATAAACGCTCAAACATCAATAGCTTGTAGCGTTGTTTGCGGGCCTTTAGCTGCGCAATTGTTGCTACAGAAAATGTCAGACCGGCACAAGACGATCATGCGAACAGAACACCGACCATTCAAAGAATACATGATCCACAAAAGGAATCCACTAAGAGTGAAGGCTAACGGAATTACGAAAAGTAACAAAACAAGCGCCGAGGTCGACTCTAGCTCGAGTTCCACAATTCCCACAGCATACAGTACTGTTGTGAATAAATGAACAAACCTGAAAATCGATACGGAAAGGTTGGCGCTACGCACTTCCAAATATGAAATGTGCACCCGCAAGTATTTGGCATTTGATCATCGTCCGGCCTAACGATTCACGGACCACGCTGAGACCCAGGGATACCACGAGCAACATGAAGAAGGACATGGAGTTTCTTCCGGCATCTAGGATAGCGACTGTAGAGTGGCCGATGGAAAGACATTAGCGACGAACATTTGTGCATGGAGACAGTAGCTGACCGACTATCAAGAACACCGTAGAAGCTGTGCTTTTCTCGTGTGCGTTGAGATAACGATAGTACGCTGAATCGATGGTTAGCGATGATAAGCAGATGTAAGATTCAATGGCTACCCCAGTTTGCAACCATTTCGATAACAAGTAACCCAACCAAACCAGAAAGATAGTACTGTGAAGTTACAAGTTAGGTATGACTGCCACTCGCGTAGGTACAAAAACTACCTGGATTGGAAGAAGTTCTTGAACATGTTTGTAGCATAGCCATCCCCATGCACCGGCGAACGTTGCATACACCAGGAACATAACGAAATAAAACTAACAAGAAATCAGATAGGGACAGCAGGACTTTGCATTCGAAACTGACAGTAACTTTAGGATAGTCCGTTGCAGGCAGCTGACCGTCAAAGGTATTTTGGAAGAACACAAGCCCATTGTACGATGGATGGTAAGGCACGTCCGTAGGAGCCCTGGCAGAACTACCGCTACTGGCTGAATTTCTTACAGTGACAGGAACGATGGCTTGCAAGAAGAATGGTTAGAATAAAGGTGTGATGAACAGAGAATGCGGCTCACCGACACAGTAGTAACCCGTTTTCCGGACCAGATATTGTATAGGTTCCACGTACATATGAATCCCATTTGGACTAGGATTAAGAGAGTCCCGGACTCGAAGACTGCGTCGCCAGGGGGTTGTGTATTCATCATCCGCAGAGGGAGGGGGGGTAGGTACCCCGCCTGGTGCATCTGCCCAAAATTCCGCGGAAGTAGATGTTGAATTCGTATCTGACGTCCAAGGTAGCTGGACCCTCGCAGACCAAAATGAAGTATCGTTTATTGATTTCCCGGAAGGAAGGTCAAGTATAAACCGTCCTAGCTCGCTTGCAGTGCAAAAGCCACCAACGACTGCGCTCGAGGTGCACACGTATGTTTTCTGCTATGCAGCTTTATTAAGCACAAAATGACTTCTCACTACACGAGTCATGCATATACGACCACTCACAGGCAATAGAGCATCTGCTGGGGAGGTAACTTTTCCGAGATACTCTGCATCTGCCCATTCGTACACGACCATTGCTACATTTCCCTGAGAAGTAGCGTCGAAGCTGACTTGATATGAAGGTTAGATGGAGGAAATAATGCTATTCAGCTGCCGCGCACCGTTAATATACGTCGACTGGCTTCCCCACATACCGCTACATATTTGACGGGAGTAGTCTGACATAAATGATTCAATTGGACCAATCCCAAGGACTACAGTACAGAAAACTTGCCTGTATCCACCACAGGGACTTGATAAGAAAGTACCGATGTAGTGAGAAAAAGCCATGGAAAAAGAAGAATAAACGGATGGCTGAAAACCGCCATCGTGACGGGAGGTAAGAACGTGTTTGTTTGCGCCTGCTATGTATCCTGTGCCTCCTTACTTCATCACTCTGACGCGGACCAATTCACTACACAATCAGTCTGTCTGGCCGTGATCGTCTCTGCTCTCAGCCTCATCTATTCGCGCGGCTATGCTTGGCGACGACGAGGACGTTTTCGACAGCGTGACTTGGGAGTCACCTACAGATCCTACCTACAATGTAGAAGCACCATCGGGACCTGGTTTCAGGCAGAGCACAGCAGATAGCAGCGAAGGGCCTCACGACCCAAAGTGGGAAGGCTATCTCATTACGACGGTCAAGGATCCGGTGAAGGAGCTCGCAGAAACGAAAGATGCATATGTCTCGTACCTGGTTACTGCAAAGGTAGGACCTTGGACATGTGTGAAAGCCTTGGTCTCAACAGTCTTTCACAGACAAATCTCCCGATATTTTCGACACCCAACCCTTCATCCCGTCGACGATTTCAAGATTTCGTTTTTTTTGCGTGACAACTTGGTCAGGGACTTTCCAGCTTGTGTAGTACCTGCACTGCCGGGAAAGCATAGGCTAGGTCTGTTCGTGTGATTTGTGACGCAGATATCTTTCTCATGAATTATCAAGAATATATCACAGGGGACAGGTTCAGTCCGGAATTCATGGAGCGGAGACGTCTAGAGTGAGGAGGCCTCTGTGACCCTTGTTTGATAATTGTTGACTCTTCATAGCCTTCATCGATTCCTCCAGCGACTATCCTCGCCATCCAACTCTGCAGCGGAGTACACTGGTTAGGGCCTTCTTTGAATCCACGGAATGGGTGCGTCAGTTTCCCAGTTGTTTGAACTTATGCTAATAGGGCAACAGCATGTCCATATGCATCAGCATATCGCGCCACCCACCTGGACCAGAGCCTTCGCCTGGAATAATTGACAATATCTCCGACACCCTCCTTAATGCATTTTCGCGAGTTCGAAAGCCCGATGAGCGTTTTCTTTCTATGCGTGAAAACGTCGACAAGTTTGAAGAAGGCTTAAACACATCTGAGCGCCTTTGGAACAGAGTCCGGAGTCGGACAAGCGGTGAGTTCATTTATTTGTGGGTTTTTATGCCCTTCTTTTTTGGTCAAGCATCTGAGCTGAAAGAGACGGAAATCCGGAATCCGCTGAAGACCTCACAGCGGATTACCATGATCGGCGGTTGCTGTTCAAGGTCTAGGATTTTTAGAATCATGGTATCACGGACCCACTCAAACCATTTCTCGAATACATATTGGAGTTCTCGGCTCTATTGCGTCATACTGTGAGCAGGCCTCTTGTCTTACATTTGTGATTATGTTTTCTCACATCTGTAAAGACACAGACGACAACCGATCCCTTCCTCATTCATTTACATTCCCTTCTCACTTACTCTCATGCCAACCGGGCTGTTTTATAACAACTTCGAGATCAAAAACAACTTGATTTTGAAGAACTCTCCGACTATCTATCTGGTGTTACCGGCGGAACGCGATAGACTCGCTGCTGTCATTAGTGGCCACGCGGGCAGCACTGGTCTTGGCCTTGGGGCGTACTTGAAAGATCGGTGTTGATGCGATTCGCGGGTGCCGATGATGACCGAAGCAGGGTAGAACGGATGAAAAAATTGGGGACGTGAAGATCAAAGAGGTTAGTCTGCTTCTAGTTTATACAAGTGTGAAGGAGCGCCCTAATGCCCGTTTAGCTCCAGGACGCTGTAACAACTGCTCATGAGACATCAGACGCCTTCAGCGATGAGACTCTTACGGGAGCAGGCGGTGTTTCAATTATGCGAAGGGAAGCTGAAATGAAAGAGATGCTAGGGAATCTTGCCGAAGGTCAAATTGAGTTTTACAAGGCCTTGAGTCTTTCATTCTACAATTGGTGTTTGTTTGTCAACAGCCTTTGCTACAGGCGATGGAGGAATGGGAGAGAAGTATACCAATCATTCAACGGATTCGAGTGGACGTTTAAATTTAACGGACATTTTATCACCTGCTTTTCTAGTATCGCTGCATTGTATTTATTATCAGTTAGCAATTGATCTGGTTGATAATTTTATCTTGAAAATTTCCTTCTAGTACAGTGAGTAAGGGGCGTAGATTATCTCGTAGTTCTTTCTTCTTTGGTTTCAACTTCTCTTCCGATTCTTGAACCGCCAAAGAGAAGCTGCGTACAGATGAATGTCTTTCGGAAGGTGAATGCCACCACGGACTCACATTTATAGACAACGGTGTTGACGGCCCGAAGCATTGGTAAGAGCTCGGCTGATTTTAGATGCGGCCGTACGTGGTGTGCCGAAATTTCAGGCAGGCATCCCAAGGTGAGGGGTTTCCCTGGAAGGGGAGATCGGCTACAAACAAAATGCAGTATATTAAGGGGTAACAGACCGCACGGCCAACTGGTTATGGTCGAGGGGACTTTGTCGTCCTTTGAGTATCCATGACAATGAGCGAAAGGAAACCGTTATCTGCAAGACCATCTTGTTCTGCGTATATATCGCCATAGGAAAAACTGTCCTGACCACACAAGCCCAGTTGTCCGAGCTGCGATTCCACCATGTTAAGCTGACCAAGAAGGACCTAAAAATATTGCCCAAGCATTCCCGGTCGTCCATGGCATTTTCGATACTGCTTCATTAAAGAACTGCTGATGGGAACCTTCGTAGGCGGCATTACCTTGTGTCCTTATTAAAACCCTCAACATCAACCATACTTTCGACAGCAAAGATTGAACCTCTCGAGGGGTTGTTGCTCCTTGTTCTTGATGACCACGACCACTTTTGTCTACATTCCCCTAAACAAAATGAGCATGACAAGACCATACCAACGCAGGAACATACGCGACTCAGTTCGTCGCCCACAGCTTTGACAGCACCAGATATGTATTCATTGAGAGCTGGATGGCGAGATTGGAAGACAGGCGTGTCATATTTCTTGCGACGAATGAACAGATCTGCCGGATATATCTGGCGTACGTATAGAATAGTGTGAACGGCCACCTCGACTGTCAAGTTGAAAAGTCAAAACGCATTCAATTGTGTTATCCACTCTTGCACGTACTAAAATCAGTGATTCCTTGCACCGTCTCTAGTTACCGTTCAGTAAAGCGGAATAGTACAAGCCAGCTAAGCGCGCACGATTGAATGTTAAGGGGAAATTGGCGGTCATCTTCACATCACGCGCTGCCGGTAAGGTAGTGTCGGTAAGTGTGTTGAGTTCATTCAGTTACACAGCCACCGGTGAGGTCGCGACGCGATATTCAAACTCCGCAGACGCGCTCTTCATTCAGTGCTTCTTGTCTCTCTATCTTTCTCGTGACAGTGGCTCTGCTCGGTTACCTGGTGGTAACACAACTCTGAAGAGAGACATATTTTTGCATCACATGAAAATGTCGAGCTCCAATGCAGCAGCGAAGCCTGTCAGCGAGGTAGAGATGAACATCAGTCAAGCTGGGCTAGTGGACAGCTGTTTTGAGGAAGACCAGTATGACGCTGGAATTTCCGTTCTCGACCAGCTTCGCTCTCCGTGGCGCAGACCGAAAGCGTGAGTTATGTGCTCTTCGTGTTGTATTCTTTTAGCTGGCCAAGAACCAAAGTTCACATATCCGACAGCTTCTATACATGGCACTATATCCACCCTCATTTCAGATAAGAGAGGTCGACGTCACTGCATCCCCTTCAAAAATCAAACAGGGTGTGACTTTTCGCCTCACAACTACAGCGATCCGGTCCGCACAGCGACTTCTCTTGTCTTTCGCCCTCACCAACACGCCAAAAGGCCTGTTTCGCACTATACCGGGATACGATGAAGAAGTTCCGTCTACGGAAGGCGATGACGACTCCGTTGTTGCTCGAGATTCCCAGTGCATCACTCGAAGCAAAAATTGCTGGAGTTTGTTAAAACCAGGTTTCATTAAATGTTCTACATCAGCTCCTCAATCCAACGGCTCAAAGCGCCGTCGTTCCCAACATGACGAAGAGGATGGCTCGGTGGTGAGCGAGAATGCGTGGTCCACGCTAGAGTGGTTCATCACAATTTTCGAAAAGGACGAGTCAATGGCTGAAGTTGGCCAGTGTGCGTTCCTAAATAAAACACAGCTACATTCAATCTCATGCAAATATTAGCTCCCTACTCGGAACTCCTACTATCTCAAATACCTCCTACAAGAGATGGGAAAGGACGATGGGAATTGAACACGCCGCTCGATGTTGTATTTTGTTGTCTGCAACAGAGGAATGAACACTATCGTAAACTGGGAGTACGACTAATGACATTGGTGCGCTTTCTTGGCATGCTCTGGATCTATAACTCAACCTGTTTCCAGCTTATCAATCTCTCCCTCACGATATATCTCGATTACCCTATTTTCGTCTCTTCCGTTTTCTCTAGATTATCCACTACATCAGCGGATCTATTTGTGTATTTGATGCTCAGTCTCGCTCCATCTTCATCTATGCTCCGATTCAAAGTCTCTCTCTGCCAACATTTCCTTCGTAACCACGATGGGCATGTCAGCGATTTACCTACGCGACCTAAACCTCAGGCGCGTCCTCCTCCAAGGGTTCGGGGGTCTAATGCTACCACCGTCCCCTGTTGCTGAAAAGCCCACTACAGCGGCCTCAGTACAACCGGTTACAGGAAAATCGCCTTACCCTCGGCCAAGAAATTGTTCGCCTAGCGAGTTTAAAGGCGACTTCTTCGTCCGTATCTATCCCTCGGATTCAGTTGGAGCTTGTACAAGCATACACTTTGCTGCAGCTTCAATGTGCTGAAGAAGAACGGGACCAGGATTGGCTGGCTGGAGTCTACAGGGATAAACTTAAGAGTGCATTCGCAGACGCATGCGAAGAAGGCCGCGAATTCGGAGAAGTCCTGCAAACTCTCGTTGATACATAACTTTACTCAGCCTGATTTGTACTTCTACAATACTTGTATCTCGCCTGATACTTCACATAATTACCTTGTTTCTATAATGCTACTCTCACAAATACCTATGTAGTCATTCCTTTCTGTGAAGATTTAGATCAAGGCATATAATTCCGAGTAAGGTAAACTACTCATACTCCTCCTCTTCACCTTCGTCCCCCTCTTCAGCCCCCGAGTCGCTAACGTCAACATCAATCAAGTTCGCCTTCATCATTTGCCCCCCTTTTCTTCCTGATCTTCCCTGTTGATCTGTATACATGTCGGCAAGGAATTTGGGTGTGCTCGCTTGTGACACTCCTTTGTCTTCTCTGACCCTGATGAAGCGAGGAAATCGGAGACTAAGGCCTTTCGTACTAGAGACCAATCCTTTAGCTGCATATAGAAACTGGGCTGATGGTAATACTAGGCAGCAACTTGAGTTGTAACTGACGCATTTTAAGAGAAACAAACTCACTCCGCCCCTCGTATTTCCCATTGACTTTCTTGTGGCTCCTTCTAAATTAAACATTCCGCGTTCGAAAAGGCCTATAAATCCCGCTTCTTCCAAACCAGACAAGGATGCTACAAATCCAGACTTACCACCCCAGCTTCGCAATTCCAACAGGACTTTTGTGAACAGTACGTCTGAATCTTCCCTCAAGGCCGTACCGTTCAGTGATATCCTGTCTCACCATTCAATTAATCTGAAAAGGTATAGATGACGATCGAACATACTTTGTAGAAAGCATCAGTGAATCCTAAGAGCCAATAAGCGCGGCAAAAACCATGCTGGTGCGATAACGTACCTGACATACACTTGCAGACCGCGACAGGGCATCCTGAACTTGGGTCCCACATACCGAGGAGAATGGGACTCCAGAACTTCGCTTTGCGACCGTTGCCATTCCAAGCACCGATTGGGATGAGGTCCAACGAGTCCGAGACTCCACCTTGCATGACATAATCCTTCTTCAATTTCATCCATGCATACGTGCGCTTGTCTGCATTGTATGTAGCAAAGAGAGGCTTTCTATTAGAGCTAGTCTCCTTATCCGAGTTATGTTCGGATATTTCTGTGTCTAATAACTGCGAGGGTCTGTGAGATGATGCTCGAAAGATTCAAAGATATGGGCGACAGACTTTGACCATCAGGCCCTCGCTTCGACTATTCATAGCTTTTGCCCAGAAGGCTTCAACGGCTGGACGTCCATCGACGCTATCACATCGTTCGACGTGATCGAAACGAGCCACTTCCTTAGATCCAGTGTCCAGAGGGGAGAATCGCGTTTTGCAGGAGTACACGTCGTTGACGAAAGTCTGTTTCAAGTAACTTCTAGAAATACGGTAACGATGATTCTGACAGTCTGGTGATGAGACGGGAGATACATGTACACACCTGCCCATCTAGAAACATCAAATCGAATCCAAAAACGCACACTGGAACTTGAACGTCAGCCAAGTTGACGTCTTTACGCGCACGAGTAGACAATTCCTGAAAAGTCCGCAGGCTTCCGTCGCTAGGATCAATGGCAGTTATCTCTGAGTCCATGATAAAATTCTGTGCTTTTGGAAGACAATATCATGCGCTCGACAAGAGCAACAACATCAGGATACTGAGAAAAAGTCTGTTAAAGATATTTAATGGACTCATGCTAACTTACTTTACTTGTCATGTCTTCCAGATGACGGGAAAATATGCTGACCTTTACAAGGTCATCTACGGCTTTCCAAGCATGTTTGCGCCCTCTGGCCGTCGTATTTAAATTCCGCCGTGAAAGGGAGGTCACCTAGACGCTCGTAGATCTCATTCAAGGAACGTATGGGAGTACCAAGGGTAGGATAGAGAGGAACACCTGACACTATAATCAGGTCGTCAAGAAAAAGGTCCAATAGTCTTTACCGACAGTCAGAGGCACTTTCCCTGCAAGGTCATCGAGCCCAACTTCGAAGAGTCCCGAAATTATATGGTCATAATTGGATGCTGACAGAAGACCTGGCGAATCAGAGTCTCAGCGTTTTTGAACTTCGCATATAGTATGTCCCGAGACGGATTGGATTTGCCCTCCGCGACAGGATGTGCGGCATCCAGTAGAGCATTTGTGGCATACCAGGTAGAATCCTCTGGTTTCGTGAACTTCAACTGGGAATCGAGCGGGGTCAGGACGGTGGCCCTTGCGAGAGCTGTCAGAATCGACGTCCTCACTGCCCCGACGCGAAGATTTTGACACAAAGTGCGGACCAGGAAGCGCGTTTCCTCTCCCTTCGCCGACACTAAGAGCTTCTGCAATGCTTTGCCTCTGTTTTGAGGCTCCTTGACCTTGCTCTTTGAGATTTTCAAGAGAGCCTCGTACAGATGGGACAAGCAATGGGGATGAGGCAACAATGTTCGCATGTTCGATTTGGCCTCAACTGCG